CCCAAACGTATCAGGAGTTTTTTTTAAATTTGGTTAACTTTATTTTTTTCTTACACAAACCCCAGCATCACGTTAACTCTTACATAAATAAACCCCCCCCCCCCCCCCCCCCCCAGATAGACGACTTCGCACAATTCTGAGACTTTCCATGACCATGCAGCTCAACATTTTTCGGTAAAGCGCCTTAATTCCAGCTCCATCTGGCCGGCACACTCTGCCCAGGATCATCCCACGACTAGACTAACCCCAGTTTTCCCCGTCTTGATTTTCTCCCTAGGCAGAGCTAGTACATCCGCGCCGTTCTACTCATTTTACGACTTACAAAATGGCGTCCGGCTCCTCGAATCATCGTACAATGGAGTCTCGTACTGGTAGAACAAAGCAACGTAAGTTTTGTTACAAGATTCTCGATGGCTTTGTCTTGATTTGTTCTCGTGGCGCGCTAGTTTGTAAACCGCCTACCCCATAGACCAACTGACCCTTGAATTTCCAGGCTATAACTCGAAGGGTGAACGATTGGTAGCGGGAGTGGTCCCTCTCTCGGAGGACCGGCTATACGTTTTGCTCATCCAATCGACTCGGAGAAAAGGCTGGGTTCTTCCCAAGGGCGGGTGGGAATCAGATGAAGAATGTACAGAGGCCGCTGAACGCGAAGCCTGGGAAGAAGCCGGTATAATAATCCGCATCGACTATGATCTCGGCGAAGTCATTGACTCGCGGCCGCCTAAAAGGCTATCTAAGGATGCTCCTAAAGCTCTATACCGCTTCTACGAGGCTACCGTCCTGACAGAGGAGAACAACTGGCCTGAGAAGCATAAGAGAGAACGCCAGTGGTTCACATACACCCAGGCAAAGGAGGCTCTTTCTGATCGACCGGAGCTGCTACAGGCTCTCGAATTATCTACTATGCACAGAACATAAGAATCCGGGTGTAACCGAGAAGAGCCCTTGTTCAATGTCCCTCTCACAGCGCAGTTCGGCACACGTCTTTCTATTGTCCCATAAGATCCATTTGACCACGTTCTAATCTGGAAAAATTGCATAGACCAGGGTTCTGGAGTTGTCGGCATCTCTCGAGATCTTTCTTTCTACCGTGCGGCATTATAATACTCATCTCCTTGACTCTTTTATTTCTGACTGAGCCGGAGAGGGAGAACTATTTGAGATGGCGAGCTTCGATGTTGCTGATATCTCATCGACCCCTGTTTTCCCTGCCGCTGTTTACTAATGAAAGAAGGCATACTAAGCTTGCATAGAACTAGGCGTTGTTGGCAACATGGTATAGAAGTTGTTGAAAACAAGATTGGTCGGTAGCGGCATCATATACATACGCGCCTAGAAAACTGGCGTTAAATGGGTGCATATCTATAAAATCTAAGTAGTACCAAGAAGTAGAAGAGGGTTCGGGCTTCTCGAAATCTCATCTATTCAGAGCGAATTACAACCGCGTTCTCAGCTAATGCGGGTGGTTGAAATAATACATCTACTAGCTGGATTTGCTGCATGTCAGTAACAGTACGTGCGTACATGCGTACATGCGTACATGCTCCTCGCAGGTGACTGGTATAAGGGGTCAGATGAGAGTCCCCATTAAACACCACGCGAGAATATACCACTACGTAGACCCCCATTTCCGTATTCGTGCCATCACATTAGGACTTCCGGAGACGGGGTTAGGTTAATTGGTGCTTTGGTGCCCGGATAGGGGGGGCGGTGCCAGCGAGCGTCGTAGTTGGCCCGGCAGAGCCTGCACGAAGGCTCTTGGTACTGATCCTACTGACGTAGATGCGGGACGCAGGAGGACGTAGACGTAGCAGCAAGGTATACGTGTAGGTGCGCAAGTAAGTAAGAAGTGAGTTAACAAATGGCAAGTATCGACTCGGTATCCCGAAGCTCCCGCCCGCCACATAGATAGATAGTTACTCTTACCTACCTACCTACCTACCTAGGTACCTTAGGTATATTTGCCCGCACATCTGTCCAACATCGACCGAAGCTTATCCCTTCTAGCTGACCGGGCTTGCTTGAATCGAGGCGCGTGCCTAGCTGCCTTCCTGGGAACTGACTAATGGGACGGCGTGTCGTATCTACCACGTACGCCTGTATGTATGTATGTGTCTATGTTTCGCCGGGGTTTTGCTTTCTATCTTGGTTCTGGGTTGTTGGCGTGGGGGACCGAACTGACGTGTTGCTGATTCGTCATATTGGATACCGATACCTATGCCTACTTGTCTGCTCATGGATATACATATGCTTGCTCGTATGGTGTATGTATGGTTGGGTAGAAACGGATATACACAGGACTAGACCCGAGACATAAGCTATGAGGCGAGCTAGAGACGAGGTAAGATCGGGGGACGAGATGCTAATGTAGACGCCGAGACAGATGTGTTATAACTAAATTAATATAGTAGTAGATATGTCAAGTATGTATAGGTATAGGTATAGGTACATCTCTGGTACGTCCCGTCTCGTCCTGGTCCTGGCAAGGCTCTGCTTCAGCCACGATTACTTTGCTCTTGCTTCCTTTCTCACGTTTCCTTCTCTTGTTACCCCCTATTTCCACATCCGCTTTACTCGGCCAGGCCGTGGTATCATCTCATAAATTACATAGATATCTCATCATACTCGCTCACTACATCCATCTGCTGACCAGTCTTACCCTAGGTACATACAGACATGGCCTAGTTACCGCCGAAAGGCCAATTCGGGCCCCTGCTCGACCTCACCGCGTCGCTAGCACCGCCAACCCCAGCTGATTCGCGCTTTCTACGCTCTGCCTCCTCGCGCAGCCGTGCCGCGACGCCGTTTAAACCCGTGCGGTTCTTGTTCATGATAGCCTCGGCGGCCGAACCATTTGGCAGGCCGTTGCGCACCCTGGGGAACGTGGCAACTGTAGTACTATGTCAGTTGCTTCTTCTTCCTCTGCTAGAAAAGATTTCTGGGGGGAGGGGGGGTTGGGGGGCAAAAGAAGCTCAGCAAATTCCGTCAAGATCTTCTTGCTACGGGGATAAGATGAAAGGGGGTGAATAAGAACTCTATGTCACATACAGCTAGCACCCGCGTTCTTGGGACGCCGAGGCGGCGACTGGCCGTTGTCACTACCATTGGTGTTCATGATTGTCATTCGCAGGCTAGCTGTGTTCGTGTTCCGCATCGGGTTCACCGCGGTTACGGTACGGGCCGTTGATAGTGTCCAGTTCGCTGGTGAGGGTTCGGCTGATTCCACATCGCTGCTGTCACGAAATCGGAGTCGGTTCTGACTGGTCATTGTTGAGGTGTTTTGAACTGGATTTATGACGGGCTCCTCTGCCGCTTCCGAGTTTCGAACAGACCGAGTGGTCGCTCGTGGCGGTTCTGCAATCTGTGGTGCTGTAGGTGATGCTAGCATGGTTGGCGAAGCTGGCGAAAAGAGCTGCGGCTGGAGTTGTGTTGACGCTGCAACCGGTGCCGCCAGCACTTTCGGCGTCTCTACAGGGAGCGGTAGCGCTGGGGAGAGTATCGGACTAAGTGGAGCTTTCTGGTCTTCCTCTTTCTCCTTTTCTTGCCCTTTATTACTATTGCTGCCGACTCTGATAAGTCGTACACTTTTTGCGCTCTTGATGCTATTATCTTTCTGCAACCTGAAGCTTGACGGCGAGACGCCATAGACGTCGTTATTGACGGACGCTGTACCGTCATCATTACTGTAGGTACTTCTCGCGAAACCAATCTCGCTTGGGGTTTCTTGGCCGATCCTCTTTTTCAAAAAGGGGCTCAAGGTCAAGTCTGGAAGCTTGAATTTATCCATGGGATAGCCAGTCCCACCACCGAACGGCGTAAAACGGGGACTTCCCGGCGTACCGCGTACCGCGATTGGGTTTTCATACTGAATCTCGTTGTTGCTATTGATTGCCGTAGCTAAACCCTCGCGACCACGTTTCTTATTTCGTCGATAGCGTACGATGAAGCACGATGCGATGGTTGTTAGTATAGCTGTGCCGACCACTGACGCAGTGACTACTATAGCGACATTCGTTGCAGAGACAGAGTTAGATTGTACTTGCGATACGATAGAATTTGCATCGCCCTATTGTGGTATGTTAGCTGAAAGTGGCAGTACATTTGCAAAGGCGGATAACCCAGAAACGTACCCTAACACCGCTTGCATCAGCCCGAGCCTCCTGGATTTGACTCGCAGCTATGTTTACCGCGTTCGCAGCGCTCGATCTTGCCTCCACCATAGCGGCGCTAATTGCGCTACTGGCGCTGCTCTGAACGCTGGCCAAGTTGGACGAGATCCGGCTGCTCATACTTGACAGCGATCGCGAGATGTCATCGCTCGCACGCGCGCTAGCCGCAGATACGGCACTGCTTGCTGACGATTGGGTCTGCGATAATTGCCGGTTAGCATTGTCGGCGTTCTGGTTGGCAGACTGGACCGCTTGGTCGGCAGATTGCCGGACAGATTGTGCGGATTGAGATACGAGACTCATGGCCGAAGAAGCGCTTGATGATACGGATGATATGGCTTGGGTCGCGGACTCTGAAAGTGACCGGAGCTGTTGAGAGAGGGCCTGGATCTGGCCATCGTCCTGGCGCTTTTGCGGCGGCGGTGTTGGTTGGGGAGTTGTGAGAGCTGGAGCTGCCTGCTCTTTGGGTCTCCTTCTCGTGGAGTCTGGTATCCTTTCTACTATGAATCTCTTGACCACATCCTCCTCCTCGGCAACTGCATGATTAACCCTTTCCCATAAGAATGAATATTCGTCTCGTGGCACCCTAGCCACATTGTGTAATATCAACTCGCCATCTTTCCCAGTTTCCTCTTTAGCCCATATCTCTATCGTGCCCAGCGCGATTAGTAGACAACACCGCAAGAGCCCGCTCTTCAACATTATTCATGAGCCCATAACGAGTGACGTGAACTAGTACTTGTCGCCAGGACGATGTCATTAAGACGGAAAAGAATGCGAAAGAAGGAAGAGAAGAATGATAGACAGCGTTGAAACGAAGAGCAGGGTTAAAGCATACATGACAGCATCTAGCCGTCGACAGCCCCATCGTTCCTATCTTTCCTATCTTTCTCGTTCAGGTTTTCCTGCCTAGGTACTAGGATCCGATCTTGCTAGGTTGTCATGAGAGATTTCATGCGGACAACGGTTACCGAGCTATTGGTGTTGAGCCCGGGTCGGGAAGATGCGTGTGATAAAGCCCCTTGCAGGAGTATTGAATCGCGAGCCGGGGTCTGTCTGATCGCCTTGGTCAGCCTAGTGAGTCTTTAGGTGGGCTTGGTTAGCTGTATGATCTACAATTAGAAACGAGTAACCTAAGTCTACTGTAGTTTGTGTAAGTCGCATTGATTTCACATTCGGATTAGGCAAATCGGCAATATTGCGCACCAGTAATATCGCACGTAGCATTGCTTGAGGTATGCCTTATACTGGCATCGGCTCAGTAATAATCCTGACTTTGAGGATTTATTTATGGGTTGGGTTGTTGCTTGATTTCTCAACCCCATGCGGGATGTGTGAGATAAGAATTATTCAACTGGGAAAGTGACTGCATGTAATTCCTCACTTGAAATAATAAGCAATAAGTCGTATGTACTACACCTTCCTACCCCAAAGCGAAGAGAAGAGCAGGTACGGCCTGCAATACGCGGGTACCCGGATATGCAGGTCCCACTTAGCCGGCCGTCTCGGTAGCCCTTGGCACTAACACTGCCGATATATTTAAGGTTAATTATTAATTTGGTACTGATCGTCTGGCCATCTGGCCTTACACCACTACCACCGATTATCCAAGGACTAGCCTTGTTTTTCAGATGAAAAAAATACACATGTGATATCTCCTAGGTAGCTTGGCATACCTATTCTGCACTCCGTGAAGTGCTAGCACGTAGCAGCACTACGTTGTAGACACAGGGTATTCCCCGGCGTGGCTGAAACGTACAGCCGTCCCTTAACATCGGATGTCCGATACCAGAATATTGGCAACGATTCGACCTCTCGCCTAGAAAAGAGGACCGGTGAATTTAACAGATTGTTCCTTGCTATGTATTGTTCAGTAGTATAAGTAGCCAACCGGAAAAGTCCCCCCCAGAAATACCTCTGCATGTGAGGTTGAGCCAAGATAATTCCGTGCCGTCAAGGGGAATAGCGAACATAATAAGCGAACATAATAAGCGATTCTCCTAAATTCCATGTACAGATAGATGCCAGGCACGTTTTCTTTCAGTCTATTTCTCGCGTAACATATATCAGGGCCTCTTTATTACTTGATAGCCTACTGGGTCAACACAATTATTGGGGATATTTATTAAATCCTATTCTTCAATTGTACCGTATTCGTTTTCAAGACGTACATAATAGTCAGACGCTCGGTTGATAGGCCCAACGTAAAGAACCTCGCCGGGTCTGGCCCGAGAAAATATGTAATACATCCATCCAGCAGCGCTTCTCGGACTGAGACCAATCTCCAAGCCGTCAAAACACCTATGTAAATGCCAGTGTGTCCCGTCAGTATAGTAGTGGGCCATAGAATATCCGAATCTAATATCCTTGTGCTCCTTAAACGCCTATAACAACCACATGAATGCCGCCGCTCTCCTTCCGGTCGTCGCGGCGTCGAGTTTAGTACCTGCATCGGAACATTTGTTTTCGTCATACATTATCGCGTGTACTCTCATGCCCTGGAAAATGACGTCCGCCACTGCTGCGAAAATCGTTCGGCTTCCTTAGCACAGCTATTATCTCCAACATTAGAACAGTGGGCGAATACAACCGCGATATCTCCATCCTTATACTGCTCGCCGTGACCGTTATTGCTATGGGCGTTAATAATTCGCTGAGGAATGATGGCCATTTTCGACAAGATCGTTGGATGCCATTGAACAATATGCTCCTAGTACTGGTTAACACTCTCGTCATATGCCGAATGGGAGTGAGTGTAGAATGAGGACTTACCAAGGCATGCGTCTCTGCTTTCTGAAAATTGTAACTCCGATATAAAGGGTCAAACCAAGTATCGAGGAAGAATTTAGCCCATTCGCCGTTTTTGATGATAAAACTGGTCGAAGATAGACCTTCTTTATCCTGTGTAAGAACAAATTCGACATCGTCTCCTTTGAGATGTGAAAATGTCTTGATAATGCTATCCGGGGGGACCACTGGGAGATCCTTGAACATGGAGGCCTCGAGTTTGCTGGCGCCCATGACGTAGTCTTCCACTTTCAAATGCGGATTCATAATGAGCGCATTCTGATCGAGAAACCACATATATTTACAATCGGGATACTTGGTTATGGCATGGCGCATTGCCACAACTTTCGCCCAGGACGCAGGTGATCCATTGAGGTTATAGTCGCTAGCTTTGGCAAGTAATGTGCCGTACCCTGATCAATGGTTAGGCGATGGCCCAAAAATGACCAGGCTGTTGCAGAACCTTACCGTGCTTTTCCGCATATTGCATCCTATTTTCCCTAATGTTCTTGATATACACCGAGTTGTCATTCTTGTCATCGAACACGGTTACCAGTACGACAGGGGGTTTCCCTGATATCGCGCGATGCCCAGCGTGTTTCGAGCTGCCGGAAAACACCCATATCAACCCAATAATTATTAGCCCAAAGAAAGCGATAGGCTTGAGTTGACTCCTCCGTATTCTCGGTATTCGCGTAGAACGAGGCAGGTAAGGTGGCGGATTCGAACTTTTCCGAGAGGGATAAGCGTAATGCATAATGAAGGTCGATAGAGAGAGGATTAATGACCTCTCTTAGGATTGTCGAAGAAGAAAGATAAGGCAGGCGGTCGACTACCTGAATAGCGAGCGATTGAGCCAAAAGGCGGGCACTTTCGCCCAGTGTCTAGACGTGACGGACGTGGCCACTCTGGCGCAATATCGGTAGTTGAGGGAATGATGGACTACTATTACTTCAGGCACGGGTAGAGGTTGTAACTTGGCATGTCGCAAAAAACCATATGCGTGCAGGGTGCAGGCCATCGCCAGATTGCATGTAGGGAAACTCATTTTGGCGGCACTTTTAATTCAACTTAATTCAACTTAGCGCTATTGGAACAGCCTAGACCCCTGTTGGCCGTTCGATTAGGTACATACTAAGGTACCTGGCTGGAGTTAGGTAGTTCCGTTACATGTGCTTACCTAAACCATGCCTAATATTAATCGACTTGAGCATATTGTAATCCGTATTGTAATCCGTACATGTACATTCGAAGAGCTAATCTAATCTGAGCTAATACATCAACAAAGGCTTTATCAACGCAGTCTAGAAATACCTATCTCGTAATTATTTCAAGTAGTCAATTCTTATAAGACAACATGTACCTAATATACGACACCGGTAAGACAATATATATCGAAAATAGCCAGGCCGTACCTTTATACAAGACCATGACGGAAAAGGATAGGCCGAATCGAAACAGCTCAAAAAGAGCCAACGACGCGAGGCTGAATTTGCGACGTCCTCGAACAAATCTGCGTGCGAGTAAAAGCAAGACGCTTAACTCGTCAGGTTGTAAGCAAGGTATCAATCTCTGCACACAGACTAGTTGACAAGATATGGGAGAGCATCTTCGAGGCAACTTAAGAGTGTGCATTGCGTGTATGAAAACACGTTGATTCAGCAAATCTTTTTTCTTGGTATCGTATCTTGAATTTTATATGCACGATCACGTGACTATGAAAAAAATCATGTGACCTGACCCGCTCGACCTGGTTATCGTGCAGTACTTATGTACATAGATACCTATACATATGTACCTAGGTAGGTTAGGTACATAGGTAGACCTTCAACGAACTGCTCTTGCAATTAAGGAACATCCGATTAGGCTACGGCGCTAGAGCTCAGCAGGTGGGGCCGGGTCCCGGACGGCTAAGGAGCGGCTTCGAGAATTGATGGGATGGGATCGACTGACGGATCGGTAGAAACCATCGAGGTGGTGGTCAGCAAGATAATCGGAATTTTATATATAGGCGCGTTCGTTATTCCTCTTGGAAAATCAATCCATAGCTTCTTCCAGCCCAAAGATGGCACCCTCTTGACGCCGCTGTTTATGCAGTTCCATGTAAGTATCTTGCCAGGCGATGTTATTGTATTTAAGCCTAGGGTGCAGCTTTTAACTACGACATCGTATAGAAACACGGGGCAGCCGGGCTCGGTACTATAGTCGAAGCTAACAAGTACCTTTTTAACGACCTTGAGGCATCTGCGGCGGAGAGATGGACAGCCACTCTTACAGCTGCGCCTGTTTCAACTACGAAACTGACGAATAATGCATACGCCGCCCTTCCTTGCGCCTATTTGGTACTGGAAGGGGACTTAACGCTGCCTAAGGAATATCAAGAAGCGATGGTAGCTGCCCAGAGTCGAGAAACCGGCGAATTTTCAGTATATAGGTGCTCAGCTGGTCATTCTCCTCACTTGAGCTTGACCCAAGGTGTTGTCAATACTGTACAGGACTTCATCAAGAAGATTGAAGATCAGCACGACTGAAGCGCTATTGCTTTGCTATTGGGGATGCCTGCAATGCCAAATTGTACAATATGATAAGCCGTCTGATTACCAGGTCATATTTTATGCTAGTTAAGGGGATATGTCTCCGGGTACGCCCGATTCGTTCCCTTAGTTAGGGGCAAGATAACCAAATTATTTGACAGGTTGCATACCTCACACACGAATAAGGATCAATAAATTGTTTATAGCTCTTCCTATCTAGGGAGACTAATCTTCGTCATCGCTATCGTCAGCGCTATTATCATTATTATCGCGCTGGACATTCAGGATCCTCTGGCTTGCTCTATCGAGAGTCCGCTCAGTCCACTTTCGTGTAGCTTTCCACACCGTCTAAGAAAGTCAGTAAAGGCTTTAAGATAATATTAAATTTGTAACTTACATATAAGAACGTGAAGACACCAATGATGACGAGAGCCAAGTTGATATTTTCCATGCGCTCACGCCCAGTTCCAGCACGACGACCTCCTCCTCCACCTATGATGCCGCTGGTCCGCAAGTTCCACCATTGCCACGGACTCATAACAAGGAACGCCTTGACGAATCCAAGCAAGCCCAACGAGAAAAGTCCTTTTATGAAGTGACCGAACCAACCCGATTCCTTGGATAGTATATCCATATCGTCATCTAAACTAATGTGACCTGTCGTGACCGACTCCGTTATGGTACCGACAGGATCAAGCCACAAGTTGAGAAGAGGGTCGGCTACAAACCCAAGTAAAAATATCGTAACGAGGAGGATAAGGATAGTGAGCCCGAGAGCTACGAGTGGGCTCCGGAGTCGTTGGGCCCAGGTAAACCGCTCCATCCTATACTGATATTGACATCGACTACACTTCCAAGCGTTGGGGTTTTCGTTCATCCAGAGTTTCAAGCAATCTTCGTGGACGTATTTAACGCTGCCTTTGCAGAGACACGGGTTGATGAGGCGACCTCCATCCTCAGAAACATAATGCCTTTTTGGCCGTCGATTACGAAGGCCGTCTAAGAAACCCGTCTCTTCATACGTCGGTTCTACTTCGTCATGACATATCCAACACATTCGAACATGTTTCTTTGATTCATTCTGACTCGGCGCAGGCTGGGATTGAGGTTGTGACTGGGGTCGCTGGAAATAATCGCTGCCGGTGGCAGTTCCGAACGAGGGTTGGGTGTCCATGGTAGGTCGTGAAGGCAGTATCGGTATAAGCGGGTTGGGATATCGGCTTGTTCGGTATGTCGTACTGGGTATAAAGAAACGAAAATAATAAAAAGAAATGGGGGACTGGCGCGATGGCTCAAGGTACCTCACAACACGTACGACTAGGACAAGGCCCAAAGGAAATATAAGATAAACAGAGTATCCTACTCAGATTCTCACCGTTATATGTTCTTCAAATTCGAATAGAATCTGGAAGGATGAGGCCGAAGGACCATTGTCTGATTGTCTGACGTAGGGATACGAAGAGCGCACTAAGCCGGATTAATAATATCGAGATTATGTCGTTGAAGATACAAGAAGCTGCAGCACTAAAAAAGTAAGGCTGTGTACATATATAGGTATGTATGCTGTTACATGCAGCGCCCAGATGTTGACTTGGCTGTTAATCAATCGTAACAACTATTTCTCCGTCAAGTTGGGTATGTAGTTAGGTATTTAATACTCTGGCTTTCTTTTGAGCATCGATCTTAAAGCTGGCATGTTGTACAGCTAAACCGAGCCAGCCTGTCAAGTTTCTCAAACGACCTCGGATGGTTGAAAGAAAGTCAGGCGATACGAACTTAACATTGACGTGAATGTAGGTATTAATCAATTCTAGAAACTTCAACTTCATTTGATGCATAAACTTGAATTCAATGCGATTATGTAATTGGGTGTACCTTAGGTACTTATGTATGTATGGGCTTTCGGAGCGTTAATATTCCGGTGTGAACTCATTGAGGCCCCGTCAAATTGAATGGATCCATTGCTCCCATTTGCTGCGCTGCCCGATTAGGTACAAGTGCGGGCTGATGTACCCTGGAGCACAGACATTGAAGCAAGTGCTACCCACCATTGTACATACCATCGTATGTACCTACCATCGTACCTGAGCTCTGACGCGCAAACTCGCGATGCCTAGCAATCAACCATAGCTCTCCACATCACAGCTCGAGCTTCTGTAGCCTCACCATCTAATCCACCTCCACTCAAGCCAACTTTACAACCCTGAACCTTTCCGCAGTCCCCTCTCATATTCAATTTTCCATATAGTCCTTCAACCATGGCCGACCGTTATTCATTTTCCCTGACGACTTTCTCCCCGAGGTAAACTCCCTTGTGATATCCATATCTACATAAAGCAACTCTTGGCTAACTCCCCTCCCAACAGCGGAAAACTAGTCCAGATCGGTATGCCATATTTCCTACAAGTCGCATGCCTACGAACACTAGAACCCTGAAGATGCCTACGCTATAGTAATGTGCATTGCGGTAACTAACAGTGCGGTTTACTAGAATATGCCCTAAATGCAGTCAACCAAGGTGTCACGGCCCTGGGTATCAAAGGTAAGGATCGAGGTCGTCGAAAGCGCTGAGACGTATATTCGCTGACTGTTGGAAGCAACAAATGGCATCGTTCTAGCGACCGAGAAGAAATCATCTTCGCCTCTTGCCGACCCCTCCTCCCTGTCCAAGGTTAGCTTGATCACTCCTAACATCGGAATGGTCTACTCGGGAATGGGTCCGGACTACAGAGTGCTGGTAGACAAGGCACGCAAAGTCTCCCACACCGGTTACAAGAGAATCTACAACGAGTACCCGCCCACTAGAATATTAGTTCAGGACGTTGCACGAGTGATGCAAGAAGCTACGCAGTCTGGTGGTGTTCGACCGTACGGTGTTAGTTTGCTGATTGCTGGATGGGATGAGGGCATTCTACCTGATGAGGAGTCCGCTGTCGAAGGCGAAGTTGAAGGCGAGAAGAAGCCCTCGGGCAAGACCGGCGGTATTCTAAAGGGCGGCCCCATGCTTTACCAGGTCGATCCATCTGGCAGTTACTTCCCTTGGAAAGCCACTGCCATCGGCAAGAGCGCAACAACGGCCAAGACGTTCTTAGAGAAGAGATACACCGAAGGCCTGGAGCTAGAGGACGCCGTGCACATTGCGCTTCTAACTCTGAAGGAGACTATCGAAGGCGAAATGAACGGAGAGACGATTGAGATAGGTGAGTCGTAATAAGGCACCCAAATCAGGAGGCATTGCTAACTATCAAAAGGTATCGTTGGCCCCCCTGCCGACCACTTACTCGGAGTTGAGGGTGTTCATGGCGCAACTGGTCCACGATTCAGGAAGCTCACCCCACAAGAGATTGAGGACTACCTAACAAATCTGTGAGCACCAATATTTCTGGAATTGGCAGGGGTTTGCGTGTATCATAGAACAGCATAGAGAGCCCAATTGAGGCAGAATCATTAAGGGATTTGATACTTGGCCAATATGAATGAAGCGCTTCGCCCCGCTTCTACACTACAAATCATTTGTCCTGCTTCTAAATTCAAAGGCACCTTCGTCCACGAACTTGCTTCGCTGTCTGGTAAGCCTAACTGACCATTTCCGTTATCACCAATGACATATACATGACCTTCTGAACTAAGCACAATTATGTGTGATTCCCCAACCCCACAATCTACTATATCACTTTCTTCCACCACCACGGGTATCGGGCTACTTGATATATCTTCGAGGAGGGCTTTCTGCCCTGGGCGGCCACCCCAAGCATAAAGATCACATCCATCCGTCAGGGCGAGTACTAGATACCCAGCTGCGCTGATCTTTTGTATCTTGCCGGTAGGCAGATCCTCGAGGTCCTCTACGAGACTAGGTCTTCCGGCTGGACTAACCCGTGGCGTCAGTTATGTTAGCTCGAGGTAAACCTAATAATAGTTTACTAATAGTTTACCTTGAATACGTTGCTGGTCTTCCAAGACAAGCGCTGTACCGCTCGTCGCCCCAAGTCCAAACATGGCCATCGTCTGATAAAGCTACGAACCCCGTTTCGTATGCTACCAGTTGAATAATCTTTCCCATGCCGGAGAATTCCTGCCGTTCACGCGTACCGATAGATGGATATTGATAAATAGTATCGTGGCCGTCATATTCTTCACATAATTGTAAGTGATGTGCAAGACATATATCCATAATATAATAACTTGCCGGCTATGGTGCCATTCCAAGCTATAGCAGCTATGGATAAGAGAAGCTTCTCCTTGAGATTTTCAGGAATGTCTTCGATAAACCCTGCATTCCGTATACCGGAAGTAGTTTTCACTTATTGTTGTTAGTTTATGATAATATCTACCTATTATATTAGAAATGCTGACCGAATGTACACGATAAAAGGGAACATGGACGGCTGATAAAATCGTCTTTTAGAATGGATTGAAACGATTCAAGATCACGAGGCTCATTAGATGTATTCTTTTCATTGTCGAACTGTAGTTGACGCCAGGCGTTGAAGCCAGTAGCGAAGAGTTCCATGGCTGTCTCTTATGTAAGTTGTAAGTTGTAAGTTGTAAGTTGTAAGTTGTAAGTTGTAACTGTTATGTCTGGATAGGTACCTACATGTACCGATGCATTCAGTGATTGGATAATGAGACCGTGTGTATAAATATCCCCCGTTATCGCACTGTTATGGCTTCGCCAATTAAAGCCATCCGATATATGAATATATATCTAATCTAGCGTTACACTACCTACATAGGTACATAGGTAAGTACTGGCACTCCAAGCGCATGTATCACTTGTATCACCTATATGTCCCTCCTTTTGAGCAACTTGCTTGAAGCAGGTGGCCTTGCCGGTGCCGGCTTCGGCTTCGGCTTGTAACCTGTCATACCAGGTATCAATATCTGGCGTCTCTGCCTAACACAGTCATATACAAGCAAACAAACGCCGCCTGCTATTTTTCAAATAATGTTAGACTTGCATCATATACATGTGAAGCTTTCCAGTCGCTCAAGTCTATCGAGACAATCAACATCGAGGAGCAATATACGATAAGCTCTCAGTCAATTTGAATCGAATTCAGCAGTTTCGCTGCATCAATGGCTACACCCGGGGTAATATCATCGGTATTGTCTATGGATTTAATCGCAGAAGATTTCAGTGATAGCGACCATGATTCCGTGATCTCCGAGAGCCACGAAGAACATGAAATCGTAGCTACAGATGAGCTAGAGTCTCACCCGGCGACTATAGACATTAAGGATGAGGTCCAAGTTAAGGATTCGGGCGTCATCCATGCCCGCGAATACCAGCTTGAGATGTTTGAGGCGAGTCTCAAACGTAACATTATCGTCGCAGTAGGTAGATACTGTCGTACCTGCTGCGCTTCCTAGACTTACATATCTCCACAGATGGACACAGGGACCGGGAAGACTCAGGTGTACGTATAGGAAACACTAACACTACAAGTCTCTTTGCTTAGGAATCGCGTCGTGTAGTGGCGTAGCCTGAAGCTGACTTCTTCCTTACGTCCTTTGGTATACGTGCTTACAATACCTCAGGGCCGTCCTTAGAATCCAAGCAGAACTGGAAAAGTCTGATCCTAGTAAAGCCAGTATAGTCGCCTCATAACTACGTTGTATACATAGCTGACTTGGATAGATTGTTTGGTTCTTGACCCCCACTGTTGCTCTGTGTGAGCAGCAAGCTCGAGTACTCAGGTCACAGATTCCTGCCGTGCAAATCAAAACTCTTGTTGGAGCAGACGGCGTAGAGACCTGGTCCAATGTTCATATATGGGATGACTACCTGAAGAATGTTCGAATAGTCGTTTCCACTTACCAGGTCCTTTTGGATGCTGCTAATCATGCGTTTGTGCGTATGGACCGGCTCTCCTTGATAGTTTTCGACGAAGGTCAGTTAAGCGCTACTATACCCTCTGCCGAGAACGAAGTGTTAGTCTAATATGACCAGCCCATAATTGTCGTGGTAAACACTCCGGCGCCAAGATCATGGGCCGGTATGGTGATAGTAAAAACGCCGGCCTACCAATTCCATCAATACTTGGCCTTACGGCAAGTCCGATCGTGAGTTCGAAGCTCGATACCCTCGAGAAAATCGAACAGACTCTGGATGCCGTGTGTAAGAGCCCGAGCATCCATCGAGACGAGCTTTTGTCTGTCGTAAAGCGGCCGACTATGACTCACGCTTTCTATACCCAACCGGATGAGGATGATTTCCCTCTAACTGACACTATGAAGAGTCTGGCTAATGTATACTACGGCTTGGATATAAATCAAGACCCGTATATTGTCCGGCTACGGAGAGATAAGAGGGAACGCAGTCAAGTTGCGCTCGAGAGAGCTCTAAGGAATCAAGATACTTACGTCTTTAACCAGGTACAGTCTTTCTGGCGAAAGAGCGTTACAATCCACCGAGAACTTGGAACGTGGGCTGTAGATTACTTCATTTCTACCTCCGTCGCTCAGTTCCTTAAGTCGATCAGAGAGAACGATTCGTGGTTCCAGGAATGGGACACTCAGGAGAAGCAATACCTCGCGAATGCATTGCAAGGTGTCAAAACATCAACACCGTCTCCACTTCAATATGGTATGGCTGATTTAGGTATATCTAGCAAAGTTGCGGCTCTTGTACGGGAGCTATCTGATTCGGTCGACGGAACTATTGGTATCGTATTCGTTCGTGAAATCGCCACAGTAGCTATCTTGTCACATATACTATCAACCCATCCGTTAATAAAGGATCGCTATCGGGTCGGTACTATGATCGGTACGAGCAACCGCATCAGTCAAAAACGAGACCTCGGCGCCCCCAACAAGACAGAATACGCTCAAAACCTTAAGGATTTTCAAGATGGAAAGCTCAATCTCCTCATAGCTACGAGTGTCCTAGAAGAAGGTATCGACGTCCCAGCCTGTAATATGGTTGTTTGCTTTGACCCACCGGCCAACCTCAAGACGTTTATCCAGAGACGTGGCAGAGCTCGGATGAAAGAGTCAAAGCTCATTCTACTAATGAGCGAGGTCACAACCCAAGTCGAGCAGTGGATGGAACTCGAGGAGGAAATGAAGAGACGCTATGAAGATGATAAGAGGCGTGTACAATTTGAAGAGATGGAGCAACCCGAGGTTGAGCCTTTCTATGTACCAGAGACCGGAGCCCACCTTGACTTCGACCAGGCAAAGTCACACTTGGAGCACTTTTGCAGAAAGCTCTCGAATCTTCAATATTCGGATACAAGGCCGTACTACATATTTAAGCGAACACCTCATCCGCTTGGAGAGGTCCCGCAAGTCTCCGCAACAGTGGTCCTACCGATGTCGTTACCCTCGGAGCTTCGGCGAGTGGAGAGTACCGGTCTCTGGTTCACTGAAAAAAGTGCCAGCAAGGATGCCGCCTTTCTGGCTTATACGGCTATCTACAAAGCCGGTTTGCTTAATAATAATTTGATGCCAATAATAACCCAGACTCCCCACGATGTCGAGTCGAGAGCTCCAGAGAGAGAAGTTAATGGACAAATAAGCCCCTGGGCAGGGATCGCGCGTGCTTGGGGTGATCGGAAAGAGTTATACCAGCGTAGACTACGATTGGTAGATCATCATGGCTATGTATTATGTGAATTTGATGCGACACTACCTGTACCCTTTCCGGCTTTACCACATATTAATATCATCTGGGATATGTATAACCATTGGAGGATCGAACTAGGTCAGACAAAGGTTATATCCACTGAGGACCTCCAGGCTGATCAGAGCCTGGCGTTACTAGACCTAGCATTCAGGCATCGTCAATGGGAGGCTAGGGATGCCGCGCGATCAGTACTACATATTCGGTCCCCGACCCAGGATATCCCATTCGGTGAGCTGGTGGGCCAAAAGAGTGTTGAAGAGGCCTGTCTTGATGGCACGACACTAATACGTTTTAACGGAGCCCCCTATTCATTCGGGGCATTGCTGCCTTCTCTCGGTCCAGACTTTCCGGTACCGGAATCTTTAAAGGGCGAACCAGTTGATACCCCTTGGCTGTTGCTGGAGAAGTGGATAAAGCGAAAAGACTTTCTTCACCACTTCACTCAACCACCCACGTCGGATTCTACTAAATCAACCCAGATAGTTAGGCCTGCACGCCTCTGCCGAGTGGATGGTATCCACGTATCTAACGTTCACTTCGGCATGCTCATCCCTTCTATTATGCACATGATAGAGATTCACCTGGTTGCTACTGAATTATGCAATACTATATTGAAAGACGTCGAATTCAAGGATATCTCACGGGTCATTACTGCAATTAGCGCACCGTCCGCTAGAGAAGAGACAAACTATGAAAGGCTCGAGTTCCTAGGCGACTCGACTCTAAAGCTGCTTGCTACGGCTACTATAACTGCCAATAGTACGTCGCGGTCGTCCGTATCAGCTATGAAACATGTTAATGCTGACCTAACGCAGATCCGATTTTCCCAGAAGGGTATCTCGACGCTATGAAGACGGATATAGTATCCAATGCCAGGCTGTCTCGTGCAGCGGTCGAGACTGGTCTGGATAAATTTATTCTCAAAAAAGAGTTCACGGGCGCGAAGTGGAAGCCCATTTACGTGGAAGACATGCTTGATCTAAATGACAATGCGGACGACAAACGCATGGTTTCGACCAAGACGCTTGCTGATGTCGTAGAAGCCTTAGTCGGAGCTGCGCACGAAGATGGCGGGATAGATAAAGCGCTCGCGTGTCTCCGGATATTCATCACCGAAGTGGAATGGCACAGCCTCAATTTCGCATGCAGTGAAATATTTAGTCAGACTGCCATGAGCACGTATCTCCCACCCCCTCTCGCGCCTCTGGAGGAGCTGATCGGATATTCCTTCCGCAACAAGAACATACTCGTCGAAGCTGCCACGCATTCTTCCTTCGGATTCGTCGACTCGACGGGAAACTGTATGGAACGCCTGGAATTCCTCGGCGACGCCATCTTAGACAGCTTGATCGTCTCTGCCATGTGGAAATTCCCACGCGAAATGACCCAGCATGAAATGCACCTCCTCCGCACGGCCTGTGTAAATGGGGATCTGCTCGGCTTCTTTGGCATGGAGTGGAGCATTGAGCAGGAGGCAACGCAGATCTCAGAGGATAAATCAACCATTGAGACGAGCACCACCACACTCCCGTTCTGGAAGTTCATGCGCCACACCTCTCAGGAGATGGGCATCGCCCAACACGCTGCGGAAGAAAGACACGCGCAGGAGCGGGAGGCTATCCTCGAGGCCATCGAGCGCGGGGCGGAGTACCCCTGGGCGCAGCTCTTCCACCTGCACATACCCAAGTTCTTCTCTGATTTCTTCGAGAGCGTCCTCGGCGCCGTGTGGGTAGATTCGCAATCTTTAGACGTATGCGCTACCGTCGTTGAGAAGGTGGGCATACTGCCGTACCTACGGCGCATGCTCGCCGACGGCGTTGACGTCCTGCACCCCAAGAACCACCTGGGCCACGAAGCGGGTAGGATCGGCAAGCCGGTCGAGTACCAAACTGAGGTGCGCGACGCGCAAGGTAGAGATAGGGAATTAGTCTGCAGGGTGCTAGTTGGGGATGAGATGGTTGCGGAGGTGGGTGGTGGGGTGTCGCCTGAGGAAGTGCAGACTCGAGCGGCGTATGCGGCGTATAAGATTCTGGTTAAGAGGCGAGAGGAGGTTATGGATATGGATATGGATATGTGAGGGGAGGTGAGCGAGGGTTGCATGGTTGGATGAGTAGTGATGACTTGATAGCTTATGAATGAATGAATGGGTTCTAGATAGCGAGCGATAGCTATGCGTTATGGATTTTCCTGTTGAGTCTTATGGCATGTTGATTTTTCGGTCGTTGATATGTATGGCGAACGATTTTATAGCATTTTTGTATACTTGGAGGTTATTTACTATGACGCCTTTGGGAAATGTGCTTAGATTTGCCCCTATTCCAGCCCTTAAGGAGTCGCAGATATAGCTCTTCCATTGTCCTCCTTCACTATAGCCGGCTACAAAGATACATACTATTCTGATTGGTCAGTCAAGTAAAGTGCTACCAAGTACGGTAAAAGACCTACCTAGCAGGTGCAGGTGCGGCCCGGCCGGCTTGAGTGATTTCCGGGTTTAAGTTTTACCACACCGATATGCAGGGGTAAGTGCATGTACCAAAGTAGCTTACCTCCTAGCCTGTCTTTAACCTACATGTATTACTGATCTACCAATCTACTACTAAGAGCCATTGACGCATCATCTACATCTATCATCCCTGGCGCTCCGGGTGTCTTGAACGCATTCCTTCTATTATTGCGACATTGTGAATTGCTTTTTCCATTCTTCCAACTTAATCAACTCTACTCGAATTCCTCCAACTACTCGTTACCCCGAAGCTTTCAACTTAATATAATAGATCCCACGCAACTAAGTTAATACCTCTAGCACCGATTTGCTGTCAGCTCGAAGCTTCTATTCTGCCATTTCGATATCGTCATCTGGCTCTCCGATCTGGCTCTCCCACTACCTAGGGTCGCCCACCTTCAATTCCTAGCCATATGACGACGACAATGCGGCCCTATACATGAGTTCTCTCCTCCAATTGGAAGGAGTGCCATCATGCCGCCTGAAGGAGGATTAAGCAACATTCGAGTATTCATAACCTGGGATGACCAGACCGTTTTCGCTGGCGAGGATATCAAGTGTCATATAACTTTCAAGAATATCGCTCCTGGTCCAAATCAACCAGTATCAGCTCAGCAGCAGACACAGTATCCCCTTGCCGAACGATCGAGACAACCCTCGCCTCTACTAAGTCCAAGATCGAAAGCCAATAATGGATTGACACCTCCCACGCCTACACGAGGGCACCGTTCTACTTTATCTCTCACCGTTCCTTCAAACAGTTCGCGCCTAAGAGGACCACCTCAACAGTGGACCCCTCCACAACAGCAACAACCCCCGCCGCAACGACCTGGCCACGCCCATCAGCGGTCCCTTTCTATAGTATCGATAGGATCGGCCGCTACGATAGAAGAGCAGTCTCATGGAAATATATCTCCCGCGCGGCACCAACGGTCTTCTCGTGGTCATGGAAGGTCTGCTAGTTTACAGATATCACCGAGGGGCGGGTTGATGAACGGTCCACAGTCAGCTGCATTACCGAAACGACCTTTTGGCTCGGAATCTTCGCCAGTATTTAATCACTCTTTCCCCCCATCTAAGCATGGCTTTAGTCGTACACCAGGAGTCACGACTGTTCCAAATACGCCCGGTGTTATGAGTTCGCATTTACCTAAGAGGAGCCCGGGCATAATTACAGATTTCAAATTTCCTATGATACCCTCACCAAAACTGACAGAAGCTGGTTCTGTCTCGCCCACAACGCAACCAGTGGATTACTTGACCGCGCCGTTGTCAGCAGCAGGCGGAGGTGTAACCCTCCCGGTGCGTTCAAGGGACTCAATACCTACTATCACCGAACAAGCCGCTCCTGTGGCGCGAATACTATCTACGACGAGCGTTGCTGGTGGGACTCCTAGGAGTAGTGGCGAGTTCTATTCACTTAGCAATAACTCATCTGAGACGTTGGCATCCGAGTATGTAACGCAACCATTACATCCTGGACGGAGACCCCCTCATCTACGGCGGCCCTCTGCTCTATCGAGTATTAGCCACGTGCGGCTCCCGGAATCGCTAATGATGGGCTTTGCTCAAGTTCAGGGTTCCTTCACTCTCGACGGATCGCTTATTAACCTGGGACCCTTCGAAGCAGTTAAACGAAAGGCTGTCCTAGGGGGGCAGGGAGGCGGTGTTATTGGCATCGAAAATTCAAGAAGGAGTAGCGGTGGACTACTGACTGGTTTTGGGTGGAGTAGTCTCGGAAGCTCTATTGGGGAGCTTCTGGGTGGTGGAGAACTCAGCAGCATTAAGCAGATGCGAGGTGTTACGAGCTCTAAGTCCATCCCGCTGCTATCAACGCCGCAATCGATCTTATTCGTAGATTTACAACTCGCCCCTGGTGAGAGCAAGACTTATGAGTACACGTTCAAACTACCGAAAGGACTACCCCCAACACATCGAGGGAAGGCCATGAAGATATCGTATAGCCTAGTAATTGGTACCCAGAGACCTGGCGGTACTAAAGAACAGCAAGTACGATCAGTCGAAGTTCCGTTCCGCGTTCTTGGAAGTGTTAATAGCCACGGCGAGATTCTTGGCCACGATCTACTTAACCCGTACATCATTCTTCGCGACATGGCAAAAGTGCAGCCGCTTGACAAACCCCCTATTCATACGAAGAGGAACAAGCTCGAGCAGTCGGAGTCGACATACAATGGATTTCTCCATTACGTTGATGAACTGCTTGAACGACCTCGTCGAGGCCTCGGGCTTCTATCTCCAACTGCCACAGCCCCTCAATCCCGCCGTGCCTCTGCTTACGAAGAGTCGGCTTCGGCGAAAGATGCGATAGACTTTGCTATTCTTAGATCAAATCTCTCCTCTGAGTCGGGACAAAGCAGTAATCGCTTCGAGATAGCTCGGAATGGCCGACGTGTTGGTGTTGTGATGCTTGCGCGCCCCGCTTACAAGCTCGGAGAGTCAGTAAGTATGGCAATCGACTTCACCGGAGCTGAAATCCCCTGCTACGCCATCCACGCGGCCCTCGAGACCGCCGAGCGCGTCGAGCCAACGCTCGCACTGCGTAGCGAGGCTAGCGTGCACAGGGTTACCCGCAAAGTATACGGCAACTCAAGCGAAGCGACGCTGTTCGCGCGGCGTGTTGTGTTCAACCCTACAATACCCATCGGCGCGACCCCCGAGTTCGTCACCAGCGGTCTGAGCCTCGAATGGAAGATCAGAATCGAGTTCGTCGTCCCTTCTTCAAACAAAGACCGGGACTTAGATTTCAGGGAGGGCGATGGCTCGCACCCCTTACTAGAGGAGATCTCGCGCGATGACCGCGGTGGCCTCGTGCTCGTTGCCGCCGAGACGCTCGACTGCGAGAGCTTCGAGGTTGCGGTCCCGCTGAGGGTCTACGGTGCCGTGTGCAATGGCCTCGAGCGGCTGGAAAGGGACCAAGCGCAGGAGGAAGGGCTCACGGTGTAATTTTCTATTTAATGCATGAGTATTACATGAGGCGAAGGGAAAGAAATGGTGGCATCGAGCCGTATTGTACCTATGTATACATTGCGCGTATGCCGGTCTAGTGTATGGATTAGAAAAAGTAGATGAGCAAAGCAAGACGAGAAGGGGGGCTAGGAGATACGTACTGTAACGAACGAGTCGAGAGAATATAGGATAAGCGAAGACGGAACGAAAACAATGAAGAGCATTTTCTTACGAACTTTGGCTTTTCGAAGAACGAACGGTTAGGCCCGAGTTGGATAGATAGACGAGACGAGACGAGATGAGACGAGATGAGATGAGATGAGGTACGCAACATTAAAGAGAGGTAGGGGAGGCAAGGGGTAAGGGGTAAGTAGGAGCGTAGTCTTCGTCGATCCGCTGGTAGAAGTAATCGAATGGAGCTCCCTGTTGAACTATGTATTATACTTATACCATGCCATACCAATTACCTCTGTACGAAATAGGATGCCGTCTTTTCATTCGTGATTGTTTATCCTATTCTCTATTATACAGGCCGAAATACCATCTTAATTTCTTGTCATGATAACAGGTATGTAGCAATCGCCAAAGTTGACTTTTATTAGAGTTTATGCAATAGTAGGTAGAGTCAGAAGGTCATGTCGTAAACAAAACGAACCTACTACGTAGGCAAATTCAATTGATGCATTTAAACAAAGCAACTTCGTCTCAAGTAACAATAATAAACAATTAGTCTTCCCTTCCATCCCCTTCCGAGCGCGCAGCCGCGGCGCTGTGCCTTATAACTCCCGTGGGTTTTCTCCAAGTGGTATCATGTTAGGAAGTCATTTTATGGGCTGGATAGGCAGATAGAAGAGCCCTCCTGATATCCTTATAGTACCCATCCCGGAACGTCTCTCCCCTGGACGTTTCCTCAAAAAAAAAATGAGCGAGCAAGACCTAACGCCTTAGGTCTCTGAAGACCACCTTCTTTCTCCATCCCTAGTCCTAATGCTGCGTACTTTCCAAACTAAAGTACGACTAATACACACTATAGAATGAATATCGTAACTATGTCGAACCGGCACTGGACTCCCCCCCGGATGAACCGGGTCGTTTTCCCGGTAAAATCACCGGCGAATCCGGCTCTTGGTCTGATGATCCTCTGTAGCCAACTCGAAGCTTTTCGTCCAGCAGAGCAACTAAGCGCTCCGAATATTGGTCTAGGAGGCCGCTTAGCATAGTTTCGCTTAGGACCTTACTTCGCGTGGCTCTATCGCCCAAAGCGATAGAGGTAAGGCGAAGTTCCTGATCTATTTCAGCCAAGACATCCTGGCTGATGGGATCTGTGGAAGCTAGTTTCCTTCGGTAGGCTCGGAGCGTCCGACATGCCTGCTCTGTAGCCATAGTAAGGGTTCCAAATCCTCTTAAATTGCTATTGCTCTTGGTTTTTGTAGAGTTGAGAGATGGTAGGGATGGTTGTCTCTTTACTCTGGCCTTTGGGCTGGAAGGTGGGCTACAGCACCGGCAATCTGTTGACGGCCGCCTGGTTGGAGTGTCTCCAGAAATTGCTAACGCGGGATTTGCTTGGGGTGTAGCGGTAGGCGTTTTCGATGACGGCGTGGAAGTTAGATTGTATGCAGATCTTTTCTTGGTGAGACTTCTTGGAGGCGATCGTCGACCCGCCGAGGGAGAGGATCGTTGGAATTCCGCAAGCTCGGCTTTCGAGAGAACGCGCCGAAGCGTAGGCCGAGAAACAACGGAGTTATCCTTGGCAAGAGATAGCTCGCGAGTGGCGGCGCCCCACGCCGGATCTTGCAGGTCCATTTCCCAGACCATGAGAGTACCGTCGGATCCAACACTTACCACCTTAAGCTTACCATCCTCCTCTTCGACTAAAGTCACGCCATTTATGGCTTCTGTATGTCCCCATTCACGGTCTAAGAAAGACCCCGTTTGGGCGTCATAGATTCTAATCGATTTATCTGTGTTCGAGACGCCTATAACGAACGTAGGTTCTCTGTCAACAGCCGGCCGAGCAGTGAGAGAATCCAAAACTACAGGCTCGATTCCGCTTTCATCGATGCATTTAAATGAATTTGCAAGCTTTCCGCTCTCCAAGTCAAATATACTCATAGTTCGGTCCAGTAGAGAGACAAGAACTGATTTCTCATCCGCGCCCATCGTCATAGATGACGGAGAAGCTTTCAAAGGTAGAGTTTTAGAGAGGATGGCCGCCATAACATCCGGGTCGCCATCTTTCTCTACAAGGTCGTGGACTTGCAACGTCCTGTCCAGGGAGCAAGTTATCACTTTATCCGCTGATGGAACGAGTACTTGAACAACCCTAGTAGCGAATTCAAGGGTCTGGAAATGTTTGAACTCTCCAGTGACCTTCCTGTGGAATAGCTGTGTTGTACGGTCACGACCACAGGTTGCAATGATAAACTTGGATTCGTCTTCAAATGTAGTGATAAACTGGCAATCCGAAGCGTGGGCCTTCATAGTTGACACGCATTTCAGGGTTGCGAAGTCGATGATCTTAACAATTCCCAGCTTGTCGCCTGTGACAAAGTACTTACCACCCTCGGTGGCCCGTACCAGATTCAACTGATTAACTAGATCAGGCTCTTCTTCAAAATTGGCCTCCTCAAGTGGTACCTGAAAAGAGCATTTGATTTTACCCTCGACATCCCATAGTATAACTTGGCCAGATGCCGACCAACTGAAAAAATCGGCGTCCATTCCAGTCGGGCGGCGAAGAGCTTCGACACCTAGAATCGACTCTTGGTGACCTGGCATTGGTATAGGGGGGGTTTCTAAGTCTAGCGTGTCTGTGACCTTATCAAGTCCCCAGATATGGATGGAGCGCTTGGCATCAACTGTTACCATATTTTCCTCGAGAAATCCTATAGCAAAGAGGCCCGAAAACGAGCCAATGTTTGTGCGAAGGGCATTTTGATCACCTTTCACAAAGGATGCCAAGTCGATGGTTGCTAGGTTTCCTGATTTACCACCGAGGTAAGCAATATCTCCACGGATAGCCACGCAAGTCGTCACAAATCCACTTTCGAGGACATTGGTCAACTTCATCTGCTTATCCGTGTCGTCGAATAGACATACATCGCCCGTCTCTGAGCAGATGATAGCTTTCGTATCGTCGATAGCAGCACCACACGAAAAAGTCGCTTCTATCATGTTATTAAGTATAACATTCCGACCAAGTAACGTCTTTTGATGCTGCTGATTGGTCGAGCTCGAATCTCCGGCGAACTTCTGTTTCATAGGAGACGCTGATTGGCCCTCTTCAACCTTCCACACTTTCACATGACGTACACCCAAAGTGATTAAATTGTTGCCCATCCACACCATGCCACGGATAAAAGATGTGCATCTGTTTTGCTGAAACAGCTGTGCAGCACCAGTTTTCGTGTCTATTTTCCAAATGTATATAAATCCATCGTGTGCTGTTCCGAGAGAGGCCAGATACTTGGAATCGGGAGACCAAGCAACGGCCTTAACCCCATGCGCATGCTCGCTAATGGAGACGAGTGGGATATCCGACGAGTTATCTTCCAGGCTGAAAATGAGCACCCGAGGAGCATAGCCAGTTTCGCCAACAGCTAGGAACCTCCCCTCTTTGCTCAGAGCTAAACACGTTGCGGCCTTGATCCGCTCTCGACTGGTCCACGTCTTCGATGATGTGGGGGATTCGGTCCAATCAAGAGAGCTGTGTGTTGATTCTCGCAACGAAGACCTATTCCGGCTGTCGTTCGCCTTTGGAGTTTGGTTCGGTGCCGATGGGGAGTAAGGAAGCGGAGGCGTACTGTAAACTGGAACTGCAGAAGGGCGGGCTCGGTAGAAACGTTGGGTATACTCAGCCCCGTTGACGTCGACTACAACTACAGCTCCGCCGGCGATGTATGCAAACGAAGAGCGTACGGTATCAAAACCCGTGGGTGCGGCACAGGTGGTACCGACAACGCGCTTCAGAGAAAGGCGAGGATCTATGGAGGGTTTGCTGCGATGAGGTGATCGAATAGAGTGTGGAACAAAAGGTGAATTTGACGGAGTCAATTTCAACCGGTTTGAAGGAGTGGATGCCATCTTCTTGCCATTGATTTTCCTTGAAGGATGCTATATAGGGCTAACAAGAAATTCGGTTCAGAGACCGTCTTCTTCTTCTTCTTCTTCTTTCAAGTAATATTGATAGTGCTGGAAATTTCTATGCGGTGAGGTGTCATGGGGGAGGGTCTTGTGGATAAGGAAAATATGAGATGGCGCAGATAGCTAACAGCACAGCACAGATAGTCTAAAACAGAGACTGCAAGGAGGAAAAGGAAAAAAGCGATTCTATTGTTCCTTGGCGAAGGGGGATAGATAAGGGATATATTAGGAAAGACGAGAGAAAGTAGAAAGGGTCAAATGCTATAAGAATGTCAATTGGAAGCTACACGGCGAGTCATTGTCACCCATGACTTACAGTGACGTGAAAACAAAATAGCTGAGGAAGTCTTCTTAGGGCTGCATGTAAGCTGAGATGGAAAGATGGAGATGGAGCAAAGCCAATGAAGCACCGTTTCCTGTATTAGCGTATCAAGTGCCCTATTAAGTCCGACAACTTGGCACCTAGTGTCAAGAGCGTTTATAGAGAATGGCCATTGATGCAGGTCGGTCCTTTCAAAAAATAAGTCGGACCTCTAGTGATTGGAAATATGAGTTGTGAAGGTGAGAATTTTGGGTCTTGAACATACAAAGTGAACATACAAAGTGGAAACCCAACCCCCCGACCTTTCTTTAATGTGGGTTTATTACCTAGGTTGTCTTTTTTTTTTTTTCATAGTTTAGCAAGAGCGAGTCGGCTGGGGGTTGATGTTAACGGGGATAAACCGAGAAGCTGATATGATTGGCTTGTTCCTGAAATTCTGCGGATTATCTAACTGCTTTTGGTGTGACGAGCTCCCTAAGAGGTCACTATGTACGTACCATTGCTCGCCTAGTCCGCATACAGCTCCGTGAGGCTGCAAGTCGACAGGGATATCACATCAACTTCATTAATGTTACATGTTTTTTCTTCATTTTTTCTTTTGACCAAAGCTACCTACCTTACTTGTCTTATCAATGCCCCCTTTTGTATACGCTTTATAAATAGGTCTTCATATGTTATAATTACACAATGCTTCGATACCTATCTCCTAAGAATAGAATTATATCGAAGTCGGAACTTACTTGAGTAAAAAAGGTAAAAGTGTCCGGTTTCCAGAATAAAAGACCGTTATCGTGTAACTTACGGATCCGTACATGTCTCGTGGTACTAGGATACCAAACCTACCAGGTACAGTAGACCACGTTCGGCAATGCATGCAGCAACGCACGGCCGCAAAACCGACCCAACCGATGAAGTAGGAAATGACAAGGGCCCCTGAAGGTCCCCGAGGTTTGGTAGCAGCGTCACCCGTTTTAAGTAAGCTTTTCGATACCCCCATCCGCTTAAGCAATGCAGGTGCACACATCTTCAACAACATGAATACCATTAATAGCAAAGACAGAAAATTGGAATTTTCAAAGTTGGTGGCATCTTACGATTCAATTACTGATTGCGACATAGATAGTTTTTAGTTTTAGTTACCTACCTATGTTTTCTATATGTTTGTGCCTTTATGCCTTTACGTAACGAGATCTTAATGATTTAGGTACCTAATAACTTAGTAGCGTATTGATAACAGTATTGTATAGGTAAGTTTTCTGTACCGGTATCGTAATCTACACTTGCAAAAGTAACAGAATACAATAGTCAAACTGATTTCTACCCCATGTTATCATCATGCAGGCTTTCGACCACCCTCAGATATTTTAGAAAGGTATTTACAGCTGACTGGTAACTACAAGAAATGGGGGACGCATTGATGATCTGCTCTTTGTGCATGATAACGATCACTTACATACATAAGGCATTGTCTATTCTTTGCATAATGCATAGAGATTTGGAATCCGCCAGCCCCATTGTCAAAATGGAGCATCCGAATAATCTTTTGGGGAGTAGTGGGCAGTTAATAGACCGCCAAATCTCAGTGCGAAGATCTTAATGTTTGTACAGCAAACAATACGAAAACATACATGTATCGAGGTATCCATATTCTAGTGTGAATGTTTTATGGCTTATTTTTATATGGCACTTCCCACCCCCCACCAAAATCCAAGCATTTACGGTGCGACCGTAGGTCATAGAGTCCTCACTATGGTACAATTCGAATGCGAGCTGGGTTTCCATTATTTGAGTGGCGTAACATACGGGCATTCCTATCTCTCAAGCAAGATAATTATTCAAGCCCTCTATACTTCCTCGACTGCCTTGGAGGCTGCGTCCGGGGTCCCCTCGGCCTATTCCAGGAAGGATCTCTAACAATGCCCTCGCGACGCCACTTGCGAGGCGGCTTCTTTCCAAGCGCGGCCATCTGGCTCCAGATGTTCTTGCCGCGGTTAAACCAGCGCTGCTGGCGGTCCATCTCCTCATCGGGAGTGGGCGTCCAATTAGTCCTGAGAATACGCCGGATGGCTTCCGGTGACACCATGAACTTATTCGCCAGCACCGCCGTCGTGTAATCCTCCGGGAATTGCGCGTGCAGCGCCCGGATGCCTTCGAGGGCGTCTGGCGACAGCCGCTTGCGCGGCTGCCAGCCTTCTGGGAATTTCTCCTTGAGGATTTCTTTTTGTATTTGCCATGGTTCCTTCTTAATGGGTCGTGGCGTATCAGACGCTGTCTTAGGCTTGTCTTTCATAATCTTTAGTCTCTTCAACCTCTTGGTCTCAACGGACGGCGCAGAGTCCGATTTCGACTCGCGACGGGCGTCGAACTCGGCATGTTTGTCTCGCCGGCCACGGGAACCGGTTTGTGGGTTGTCTAAGTTGGAAACGAGGACGTCGATAGATTCGGGGGTGAAGTCAAGAATTGCACCTTCGCTTTTCGCCCGATCTAAAATGTCTGCAGAGACATTAAGCACTGGTACATCGGGCTCCTCTACCGTAGCATTGACCGTAGCAGTGACCGGAGCATTAACTGTAGCATTGACCGAATGTTTTTGTGGTATGATTTCCGAGGGTTGATCGGTGTCTAGTGAATGCGAGGTTCGTCCGTGCAATATTTTTCGTGGAAAGCTTAAGGCTGCAGTGACACTATAAGGTCTAGCAAAGGCGAACTGCGACTGAAAGTTACTAGCTCTCGAATATCGCGGTTGGATTTTCCTAGTAGAATTAGATAGTCGAAGTTCAGTGAGACTCTGTACGAAAATCTTCAAAGATGTCGTGCGACACGAGCAACTCATCATATTCCTCCGGTGTAGAATGGTTAGTCGCGGCGAGGGGATAGAAGGCTGAGATGAAAGATGAATATTTTTTTTTTTTGCCTTCCAAGTTAAAAATTGTTCTGCAGGGCTCATGAAGCACGGACCATCCACATATTGGCTCCATTTATTTTAAGGTTATGTGGATACTGTGGGGAAAAGAGAGATACATGATACATAGATACATGCTTGACTCGTCCCCCTTTACTCAACAACGTCAGGCTGGATGGCCATGATGTTAATGATGGGATTTTGACTTTGTGGTGGTAGCTACATAGACAATGGTATATATACAAAGAGATGACTGGCTTTCGGCCAGCATTAGAAAACTTTAACAAATCAACATCGTTCCCAACATCAATACCAGAGCTTCTCTTAGTTAAGTGATATCAATATACTGCCTAGGTAAGATGCTTTAATAGGATTCATATTATGAAGCTTATATCAGTATGGACACAAGCTATCCATAATTATTCCTAACATTTATGATCCATCTCGATATATTTATCATCCCACAAGGCCAGATATTCCAATTTCTTGACTCAAAAAATTAATTATTGTTATATCTTAGCCAGGTAGACAAGACTTATCATGGTGACTACAAACAACAATACGAAAAGCAATAATTATGGCTGGCGAAAATGTTGGGGTGTCAAAATCAACTGGACACCAAAGCATCTCACAGCAGACGATTTAAACCCCTTGATACATACATACGACACTGTTTCTACAGAGGCCATCGAGAGGTTAAACGAGATCTGGTCCTTGTCTTGCAAAACAAAGCCTTCTGAGAACGAAGATAGTACACCAAGAAAAAAGAAAGCCAGACGGGATCTCTATGAACTCCTTCAAGAGCACGCTTTTACCGATGAAAAAATTGGCAGACTATGGGATGAGATCAATACCGTTCCAGATTGGGTCGACTGGAAGCAGATAGAAAGGGGACAGAAGGTGTTTTACCGCTACGGAGGGCCAGCCATAACGACCGTGAGCCGCAAAGTTCTTTACTTGATCAAATATTTGTTAATATGCAGGTTTAGTTAACATTCCTATCTCTGCTAGGCGGAATGGCGAGCGGGCGAACCGTCGAGACTCTCGACCGCACTGGAGGGTTCGGTGTAGACGTTGTCAGACGGCGCCTGCTAGAAACCACACAGCATACTCTACATGTAACCCACAACATAGAATCTATAAAACCGGGCGGTGATGGTTTTGCAGATTCGGTTAGAGTCCGACTGCTCCACGCGGCGGTACGCCGGCGTATTATGCAGATGGCTCAGAAGGAGCCTAGGTACTACGACATGAAGACATATGGCGTACCGATTAACGATCTCGACTGCATCGGCACTATCAATACCTTTTCCGCAACCCTGATATGGATGGGCCTTCCACGACAAGGCATATGGCTGCGGAAACAGGAAATTGCCGATTACCTCGCGCTCTGGCGATACGTGGCTTATCTCATGGGCACGCCTCACGACTGGATGTCTACGCCAGAGTCGGCGCGGCGCATGATGGAGTCGCTGTTGGTGGCAGAGATCAAGCCCAGCAAGGCGTCTGCAAACCTCGCCAACAACATCATCTCCGGGCTTCAGGACCAACCGCCGACGTATGCCCCGAGGGAATTCCTGTGTGCCCAGACGTACTGGCTCAACGGACGGGAGCTGTCAAAGGAGTTAGGGGTTGAGGAACCGAGTCTGTACTACACCGCCCTCGTGGTTGGGCAGTGCATTCTCTTTGCAACGCTTAGTTATGTCAACCGAAGTATTAGCTATCTAGACGAACGGAACATTAAGGTGAGTTGGCCTACATATGTACTCTCAAGGTTCACTCTAGCCTCGTGATGGGGGCTGTGTCCTCATAGTCTCACTTCGCTTCCCACCATCCAAGTCACTATAGCTATAGCAAACCCACGCTGCTCAAGTGGATAATCCTTTCTTCGATGTCATCCTTCCACGGCAGGGGTGTATGCGACCAAGTGATCTGCGCCTCCGCACCGCTTATCTCTCCACACATCCCCCTTAACCCGTGTATCTGCGTTAACGGCCGCGATACACTGCTTACTAACTAATAATCATTTTTAATATTATAGCTAGTCCGTATGGCTCTGTACCAAGTACTACTACAGAACAAGACCAAAGGTGCGCTGGGCTACACGACTAAGTTTAACTTCAAGTACATGCCCTCATTCAACCGGACGACAACGGTGCGTGGTCCGGCGCCGGCGCAAGAGGGAAGGCTGAGGGTTCCGGGAAGAGTCGAACGAGCGGCGCTGATCTCGCTACTTATTTCCGCTGCCGTCGTCTATATTGTTTCTTCGTGGTGTTATGCTAAAGTTGTGAGATGGGTGGATACTTATTAGATGAGAGGCACTTCGCTAACTGGTAAGGTAAGCTGCGTATAGATACGGGATAACAAGCACCCCTATTCCTCTAAATATCCTTCTGGCGTGGCGTCGCCCTTTAGGCATTTTGTGTGTTGTCGGGTCAACCTTGCGGTCATCGGCTTTGGTTCGGGATTTCACCGACTTGAAGGATTCAGTGCGAAATGAGAAATACTTGTTGCAAATTATATTCGAATCCTACGGGTAGAAGCGTAAGAGCTCGTGAGGTTGCATAGTCTGTTTACGAAAGTAATGGCTAATGAACTTTACAATGCAATGCTTCTGACATTGATAAACACATTTGTACACTTAATATTGGTACTAGGCTATGTAGTTTATAAGCTCTAACGAATATTGTAATAGTATGGATAGGCTTTCTCTGTATTTTTTGCCTTAAGATTTACCCTCTATAGACAGCTAATATAATCTGTCCCATCAACGTACCCATTTCTCGACATACCAATGCTATGCCCTTTCGTAGGCGATGTTGTGCTGTGGTGAATGTGGATATCGACCCAGACTTTAGACTCAAGACCCAATGACTACCTGCCCTTCCGTAACGCCATACTACCAGAACTGCAAGGGAAAAATACTCGTTTTCAACCCCTACCCAACTATAAGTCGTATACAACAGATTTCCTATCCCATAAGCTCAACAGGCGGCCGGGCCGTATGCGCCTTTATCGGAGGCGTATTTCCACCCAGACCAAGTCCCAACTCTATAGGTTCATCTGTCATATCGTCCACCGAGATAGCTGGTAGATTCGGACTGCCACCATGCTCATCAGGGTGGTAGATTAAAGTGCTACTCCTGCTCCTGCTCTTAAATGTAGTAGGCCCAGACTCAACCGGAGAGATCGGAGAAACGTCTGCGGGAGCTGCTTGGTGACGTAATTTCGCCAAGGCCTCTGCTAAGTCATCGGCGTGAACTTGCTTGTTCGGTGCATCCTCCAGCTTCATCTCCCAGCCATGAGGCGGTGAGGGAGGCGGGCTGATAAAAAACAACTTGCCGGCATCGGGAAGCTGCAACCGGTCGTCCTTGTGGAGATCAAGAGGTGTAGGTTGTCCGAAGTACACTCGGCACCGCTCGCCCATGATTGCTTCACCGTCCCATACTGACCGTACCCTGATAGCAGCCTGCTCGTCGAAGAAAGAGACTATTATACGGCGGAATGATTTTAATGGTGACCACGTATATACCGGTGCGGTCCCTTGAATGAGCTCACGAAGCGTTTGTAGGTTGTCAGGGCGGAATATTTCGGTGTCGTTTAAGTTGGTGATAAGTAGAGTGTTTGTGGGTGGCGTTGGCTGTGTTAATGGCGGTAGACTGGAGAGATCTAGAGATAGAGATCTAGATGACCCACGCCGCTCCATGAGGGGCCGCGCCGGCGAGGAGGGGTTGGAAGTCGGTGATTGAGACCCAGACATGTTCATGTGATAATCTCCAAACGCTACTTGGTTTGAATGTAGAGTAAAGAGTTCGATTCGCGAATGTCGAAGGTTAGGGAGATAGTCGCTGATAAAATGTATATCTCTTCTAAGTGAAGGGTTCTCAGTGTAGTGTAGTTATTGAGTTTTCTTGTGAGAAATTGTTGTAGGAAGGGAAACAAGAGGAGAAGAGAAGGAGATGTAGTGGAATATGTATGGGATCTCGGTAGTGGCTGCGCAAGTGGAAGCGGTGGGATTGAATTAATTGAATTAATGCTAGTTAAGCTAGTTAAGCTACCTAACCTAGTTACATAGGTAAGTGGTAGATTCTTGGATCGTTTGGGAATTTGGGCTAAAGAGACACTGAGCCGCCTCAGTGGATTACTAGGTTACAGTGCCACACAGTCAAACCTTGACATCCCTCCCTCACCCCACTCCAAGCCTAGCGTTAGCCCACACCAGCCCTGGCCAGCCTATCAAATCGATTTAGTTATCTTGACCTAGCGGCTTTTCGGTGCTTGCACACTAGTGACAGGGGGCGGCTATGCACCACTTAGCAGACTTAGGCATGTATCCACCACCGACCGCAGCATCGCATGGATCATCTCAACACGTGTGTGCAATACAACATACCTAGGTTACCTACGTAGGTATATCACTGGGTAAGGTCAAGTGTTTAGATATCGTCGACCTAACAGCCTAGGTTAGGTACCTGTTAACATTCTTCAATGCTGCTAAGCCATCGCCATGGCGTTGAATACCCAAGTAAGTTTCGTAAATCACGGCCAAGAGAGTCAACCTTATTAATATGAATTCCATGTGATGAAGGAACTATTCGGGCGATGTAAGTAACTTTCCAACGTCTTGAGGCGTAAACGTAACTTCAATACAACTTGCTAGCAGCGGCAAAGCATGTTGCTCGCCTCGGGACTCATATCCCTGGGTAGGTAATTAATAATCTGACAACCTTCTAGGTAGGCAAGTAGTATTAATATGGGATAAGTAGATTTGAAGGAATATAATGCAGGTACTGCTCGGGAACTCCTCTTACACAGCAGACGCCTTCGGCTTACCCTTGTATACCTAGTCCTCCATCGTGACCGTACAGCCATAGTCACTTGTCTGCCTTTCGTGATCGTCAACTAACGTTGGGCGAAACAAATAAATTTTATATCAACGTCTTAGACATTGGTTCAGCATTGCCAAATGACATCGCTTGCTTACCTGCTTAACTATCTGGAATCATGTTGTTGGACAGTGGCCATGCAATGCCGTCAATAGTGGAGAGCAAAACCACCACCCACCACCACATGATAAGTAGGCGGTAACGTCATGTATTGAAACCTAACAAAGGATCGCGAGTAGGTAAACACAAGTAAACGCAAGCAAACAGCTATAGATACCTCGGTTACTTACACTAAAGTGAATGCAAGTTTGAATTGCAAAAGCGAAAATGAAGCGAAACACGGCTTTTGCACTGCCTCGTTGTAGGTGCAGGTGGCCTCTCCCCCACGGACAACTTTCCATTCCGAAAAAACATATCGGGGTAGAACAGAACCTTAAAAGCCGAGGACCGCCTAGCTTAGATCGGCACTACAAGTGTGGCGCAACCCCGGCTTTCCGTTCCAGATTCCAGAACGATGGCTGAATCCCTGTGTCACTAGTTCCCTCCTTTGCTCCTTTGTAAGTCACCACGCGACAATCTCACGGTTCGGGTTCTCCGACATCAATGCCCATCAACAATCTCGCCTCGTTTCAGTTAAGAGTTTTGTTCACGCACCAAGACTACCATCTTAACTGACTGCATCATTTATGCCATCCGAGTCAGCCGGTAGCTCAGCCGCAATCGAGTCGGTCAAGTGTAGACGTGGGAGTACCGGACACTTCATTAAGTCAGATCTAGCATGTGGTCCTGCTTTCGATCTCACTTGCTTGATAGGTAAAGTATTAAAATAATTTCAGAATAGGGATAATTTATGCCTCGAGATATTAACTGGAACATGTTGGTTGACATTGAACCGAACTTGTGTCGCTTAACAGAGTAGCAAATGTAACCAATTATTGCGGCTGAGATAGAAAGGGGTGAGTGAGTGAGTGTGTGTTTGAATCGCCAATCATATAGCGCTCAACTCGATATCTCGGAAATATTAATGAGCCGATCGCGAGGGGTTGCCAGTCTATCACAGCCCTGTTAACTTTGGGTAGAATGAGCAATTATTAACTAATTCGTACTCTAGAGACGCTTCTCTTCGTCCCTACTCCATACTATTATATTGTCCTCACCTGATCCATCGGGGCGCGAACACGAACATATAGAGCGAAAAAGAAAACTGCGTTACGATAATGTCTGGCCTCGAAGCCTTAAGCATTGCCTGCAACATAATGCAGGTGATTAGCTTTGCCCACGAGACGATTGACAAGGACTGAGGAGTCAATAAAAATGCATGTCACATTGAGAACAAACGACCTTATCCGGAGAATGGACCAATGCACGATCGAATCAGATATGAAATCTTCGACTAAGGAGCAGCAGGATCGATTTCTTAACAGCCTGCGATATGAAGGCATGAATCAGAGGAAGAATGATATAAATAGCTCATTCGAAGATACCTTCCAATGGATTTTCGACTATGATGAAGATCACGATAAAACCCCTATACAATCATGGGACGACTTTGAAGACTGGCTCAAGTCTGATAGCAATATATACTGGTAATGATCTTCCCTTCTAATGGGATTAATTGAAAGCCTGTTCTAACATGGATTAGGGTTTCTGGTAAACCTGGCTCTGGAAAAAGCACACTGATGAAGTACCTCTTAAAAAGCCCTTTTACAGAAGCAGCATTGAAGATATGGAACACAGACCCTATAATTCTGTTCCATTTTCTCTGGAAACCAGGTTTAAAAATGCAAAAAAGTGTTTAGGGATTTCTTTGCTCCATCCTTTACCAGGCTCTTCTCTCTGATAGGATCTCTATAACCCTGGGCTCGATCATAAATACCCCCAAGACCTTGCCACTCAAACAAGAGGCTGCCGATTGGGACGTTGAAGAACTGAAAGATCTTTATTTCAAAGTATTGGGTAACGATATGTTTCCGGTATGCATATTCCTCGACGGGTTAGATGAAATATGCGAAGAAGACGGCCCATTTTCACTACTGAAATTGATCGATGATCTGAGGATACACCCGAAAATCAAAATATGTGTTTCCAGTCGGCCTGAACCAGTGCTTCAGTCCAATCTATGCGGACACCAACAGCTAAGATTACATGACCTGGCATATGATGACATGAAGAGATTTGCAGTTGCACAAATACAGCCGTACGTTGACCGTGGTATGATAGCCAGATCCTTAGGATCAGACATCATAAAGTCTCTTATGGAGAAAGCAGAAGGTGCATTTCTCTGGCTTCACTTGGCTTCACGGAGCTTGATTGGAGGAATAGAGAAAGGCGATACAGGAGCCATTCTCAGGCAGCGGCTCGAGGAAATGCCTAATGAACTGAAGAAACTGTACTCCGACATGTGGGAACGAATGAATGGGAATTCCAAACTTTACCGGAAGGCTGCGGATGACTTTCCCGTACGCGACCCGACTCGTTCTGAATTGATTCGAGGACAACAAAGGAGCATGTGGGTAGAATTCATCCATCGAACGGCCTATGATTTTATGAAAGACACCGAAGAGGGCCATCGTATTCGCGCGTATGGCTCTTACTCATCGGATACACTATATATCCAGCTTGTCAAAGGTCATCTCATCATGGCAAAATTGTTTCGGGGTCTCTCGGATGGACGCTTTGGAGTTGTCTTGGAGTATTTGTCTGAAATAAAAGACTTGAGTCTACAACCTCTTGTCCATGAAATGCTACGACGCGTATGGACGTGGTATCACGAACGTTATTACCTGATTTATCTGGAAGAATGCTGCACTGGACCTCATTTCTTAGCTCTTTTAACTGACTTTCCATTTCGAAACTTCATTTTATCTGCCATTAAGGAGTCACCAAATCCATCGCCGTTAGCCACGCACGTTTTGAGAAACATAAACTCTATGGTCGGGGAAATATTGTCGCCAATCGAGAGGCTTGATTGTTTCCTAGAACCGCTCCTTGCTCTAGGGGCAGATGCAACGTCTCGAGGGCCTTGTATAATATCGTACAAGACGATATGTCCAGCTTCGGCGCATCTGATAACGCAGATTATGAAGCGTCAATACTCTTGAATATTAGTGTTGGATTTCTCCTCAATGCTCTTTGTATGGGGAGGGGTGTCTCTTTGGAGACATGTTTGAGGGACGGGCAAACATTAAAATGTCAACCAGCCCAATCGGTGCTTATATATGTTTCAAATGGTTACAAAAAAGGCCACTTTAGGTTTCGGCCGATAGATGTCAAGGTTATAAAGCGTTTATTGTCTTTGTTGTTATAACTATTGTGTGGTGCAGGCATACTCTCCGAGGCACATGAGGAATGTGCTGAAGTTATTCGGGCTTTCTACAACGGATCGCCGAATTATGAGGCAGTACATGAATCTGACAGGTGCCTCCTGGCTGAAGAAGATTGCGGTTTTCGTTACGAAGGACCTGAGGACAACCATTTTATGGGGGATGAATGGGCAGAGCATTGGCCTGAGGTATGTAGCGATATAAGTAGTTGTGCGGAGGAGAACGGCATTGGTTCATTATGAGATTGGCCTATGAAGACTTCGCTTGTCTTGACTGCTTGAAAGGGGGGTAAGAAAATTTAGTACGACTACAATCTCTCATTACCTAGCCCAGCACTTTGAAAACTTATCATCGGACTATCAATGGTGTCTCTTATTGAACAAGGGACTAGTGGTAAATAGCCGCACCTTACAGCAAGAATAATTACAATAAGTCGGAACACTGTTACTGGGGCCACCTGTTTCCCATACAAATTCGCATATCTGAACTGATTCGATTAAATAGCTAAAAATACGCCATTTACATAGTTATTATTTTAGTATCATAGAAACAGGGAAGGGTGGCGGGTTGGCAAGTAAGGAGATTCTAAGCACGACGGTCACACCAACAAAGGGATAATAAAGGCATATGACAATGTAGCTGTAGCATAGCCTACTATGTCTGATTGGACAATAAAATATATTAACTTAATTTTACGAGGTAGCTAGGGTACCCAAGGCACTATTATTATCCTCTATCTTAGGTAGGTAGCTAACTATCTAACAGTCTTTGACACTCCACGGAGAAACTTAGACAAATAACTTGAATCCTCCAGGGAATCCCTTCTGAAAGATACCATCAGGGTCATATATCTTACTGACCTGTTGGAGAAAGCGTTTGTTCTCCGGCCCGTAGGAGCCGATTGGGTCCTGGAAATTGAATGAATAATTTAGGTACTTGTATGGAATGGCCTGGCCTCTTGCTACAGAGTCTCGCTCGATTTTATCAAGCAAGCTCTTCCCTATAGCAAGAATTTGAGTATCGTCGCTCTTGTTCTTCCAGTTTAGCAATACCAAAATAGAAACTAGCGGACCCGTAGTAGGGGTTAGGCCCGTGGTAGTACCACCTGCGGATATGCACTTCTCGAGGAGGGAGACGGGGTAGGGCTGGAGTGTTAAGGAGAAAACGACGTCCTCAAAACCTTTAACATGGTCAAGACTGGAGGAGAAGGCCTCGGCTGCGGCTTTAAGGGTTTCAGCATCTGCCTTGACCGTAGTGTTCATGTAGGCGCATCTATTTCGTATGAGCATCTCAATGTTCAGCAATCTGATAGGCAAAAATATGCATACCTTATCCCTTGCATAGCCATTGCGGCTTGTTCGGCTGCGGCATCTTTCAGATTGATCATTCGCATCGAGTTGAGCTGATCAAGCTGTGGCTGTACCTTGACGAACGGATCTAGGACAGGGGGGCTTTCCACCTCGCGGGTGTAATAAAGCTGGTTTAGTCCCATAGGTTGGCCAAATTGGGCTGCGAAGAAGAGACTGATCATGATATGGGTCTCTGCTTCTGGATTCTGTAACTGCTGAACCAAGGCATCGATCTGGCTGGGAAAGCTTGCTGGGAAATAGAAGACGCTACCGCCCCAGAAGGGGCCTTGCTTGAAAGTCCTCATATCGTATCTTGTTACTATACCAAAGTTATTTCCACCGCCTCTCAATGCCTTCCAGAGATCTTGGTGGTCATTGGCATTGCAACTGACAACCTCACCGGAAGCTAGGACGACCTCGTAGTTGATAACATTGTCGCAAATAAGGCCTTCGCGAGAGGAGAAAAATGAGAGGCCTCCTAATATTATGGTTAGATTTTATTGCTGTGATGCTACCATAATTGCTCGCACCTGACAATGCTAACCCTCCAATGCCGCCTTTCGCAGACCGAGAGCCAGTCACACCGAGACCGTGGCCATGCAGCTTCTCATAAACTGTACCCCAGCGTTCGCCAGCGGCAATAGACACGATCCCGGTATCTAGGTCGAGATCTATACCAGTTAGCAGGCGCAAGTCCAATGTTATCCCCCCTTGGATGTTTGCGCAACCTGGTAAGGGTTGCTGGCCAGCCCCTCGGATGGCAAAGGTCATTTCGCCGCGGGCAACAAAAGGATTGATAGTAAGCAAGAAGGCAGAAACATCCTTCGTTGTCTTAGGTAGGACAATGGCGACTGGGGCGAGATCATTTTCGAGCGCTGAAAGATACGATCCATTGATCTTGTCGAACTCACCTGTACCATGAAAATGAAGCTGCTCAGCTGGGAGGACCTGCTTGAGAGCTTCGATGGCAGAGAGCGTAGTCATTTTGAAACTATAACGATAAGTTAGGGTGCAAGAAAAATTATTTCTGGAGATTAATCTGTATTGCTAATGATGTTAGTAGTGTAGACTTGGAACAGGAAGTTTGCTGTTCTTTGTTGTGTGACGAAATGAAATATCTTTTTCATTCTACCAACATCATCCCTTACTTCTTAACTCCGAAGTCGATCCTACCATAGGCAAGCCCAGAAATTCTCAAGGATAAGTATGTCCCTAGCCTCTTTATTATTTAAAACCTATTACTCTGTCTATATTTAATTGTCTCTAAGTGGATGTTCAGTCCAGAACAGAGACTCCCTTCCCAAATGGCTACTAAAGCTGAACCAACCCTCCCCGGGTCAACTGACGGAGAAACGGCATCGAAGCCGCCTGCCAAAGGTCTTCGATTCTGGGGCATCTTTGCCTCTGTCTGCCTCTTGTCGTTTATTTCCGCCTTGGATGTTTCTATTATTACTACTGCCCTCCCAACGATCACGGCGGAAATTGGGGGAGCTGAACAATATGTGTGGATTGCGAACTCATTCATAGTTGCCTCTAGTGTTCTGCAGCCTTTGTTTGGTCAAGTCGCAGACGCTTTTGGCCGACAGATTCCCATCATTACAGCAACTACCCTTTTCACCCTTGGCAGTGGACTCGCCGGCGGTGCGTACAACGTTGGCATGCTGATCGCGGGCCGCACAGTCCAGGGTATCGGTGCCGGAGGCATCTACGTCCTCATTGACATCGTGTGCTGTGACTTAGTTCCGCTCCGTGAGCGAGGCAAGTATCTGGGTCTCATGTTCTCTTGGTCAGGAGTTGCAGCCGCCTTAGGCCCGCCAGTTGGTGGTGCTCTGGCGCAAGAAAACTGGCGGTGGGTGTTTTGGATCAACATACCTATTTGTGGCCTGGCTTTATTCGCTCTTGTTTTATTCATGAGGGTGAATAAGGGAGCTGATTCTTCCACGCTATCCTTGATCTCAAAAGCAAAGCGGATAGACTACTTCGGATCACTTATCTTCATACCGAGCATGATCGCATTGCTTTTTGGCTTAATTATGGGTGGTGTACAGTTTCCATGGTCCTCCTGGCGTGTTATTTTACCGCTTGTGCTAGGGATTGCTGGTTGGATATTCTTCCATATTCAACAGCATTACTTTGCTCGGCACCCCAGTGTACCTTCGAGGCTCTTCGGTAACAGGACATCTGTGACGGCGTTTATATTGACATTCACGTCTTCTGTCATCTTACAGATGATTTCATACTTTTTGCCTATCTATTTCCAAGCGGTACTTGCCACGACGACCCTAGAATCTGGCACGTTTTTTCTCCCCTTCGCACTGGGGTCATTAGTTTTTGCTGTCGTTGCTGGGGCACTATTGACTAAATTTGGCGCATATCGTCCGCTGCATGCCACCGCCTTTGCTTTATTAGCCGTCTCCTTCGGTCTTTTTACTTTACTTGACGGCTATACAACTAAAGTTGCTTGGGCTTTCTTTGAACTGATTGCTAGTGGAGGTTGTGGGATGATTATCTCTACTCTTTTGCCTGCTATCATGGCTAAGTTACCAGAGTCCGATGTTGTCACAGTGTCCGCAACGTTTAGTTTTATTAAGAATTTCGGCTATATATGGGGAGTGACAATCTCAAGCATTGTTTTCAATGCTGTTTTTGACTCCAACTTATACAACATTTCGGACCAAACGCTACGGAGCCAACTGCAGAGCGGGGCAGCATACTCCTTTGCGAGCCAGGTACATACTATACGATCAACTCTTGATCTAGGCGTTTGGGTCGAGACTAGAGACGTTTATACAAAAAGCTTACGAATAATCTGGTGGGTGGGCTTGGGCATTAGTTTGGCAAGCTTTTTTGCGGTTGCAGGAGAGGAGGGGCTGGAACTCCGAAAAGAATTAGAGACTGAATATGGTATCAATGATCAACCGGATAGATCAACTAATGATAGGGAGAAATTGAAAGACGAGCTTAAGACACAGGAGGAGTGAACCTACTTCAGATTCATATAATTACTACGGAGCTTCCTTTTTACATACAAGCAGAGTTCTAGATACCAGATCTATGAAGAGGGTATGCCACCTCCTATTCTTGGAAGGGCATGAGCCAATATAGTCCCCTACCTTTCACTTTGTAATCCTCATAATAAAAATAAATGGTATTCATGTAATTTTAGTAAGCGTATAATATTAGGTAGCCAAGCTTATTAAATCCAAGCATTTATTCATTCTCATGCAGACTAGCAGTACGGGAATGTATAGATGCCTCAGGCAACTGGATAGTTTTCTACTAACCGTTAATAGGTCTGTCATTCTATAATTATACGAAAATAAAATTCCTCTCTCTCTTTCTCTCTCTCTTTACAACTTTACTTTCACTTTAGTAGCAAGCAAAGCATACTTACGAAAGACTTCCCGCCGCCATGGAAGCTTCCAATGAGCCCATAAATTTGAATGCACCTATAGCCGAAACGCCCCCTACTAATGATGGTATTACCTCGAATAATAATCCTAACCCGGTCTCCATCAACCCTTTGCCCAAAGACTTGGAACAGCAGTTCGAAGAAGTGATTCGAAACGATGATTGCATCGAATTGGAAAAGCTTTTGAGGTCTAGAGAAGACTTACTTGAGATACAACTGCAGTATGAATTCAAAGAACGCGGAACCAACACAGTCATGATCACTCCACTGTATCTAGCAGCAGCATTGCGTAAAACTACAATCGTTAAGTTTCTTCTAGAGAATAATGCGAATGTGAAAGCTGCCGATCCCAAGTCTGGCGAAACGGCACTGCACATGGCTGCCAGACGCGGTCCGAAAGACAGCGTGGAGTTGCTTCTCTCTCAAAAAGCGGATATACACCAGAAAGGCCTAAACGACGCAACCCCATTACATTTAGCATGTAAATATGGCCAGCGCGAAATTGTTGCTTGCCTTTTAGATGCACAAGCAGACCCGACCAAGCGTGATAAGGATGGTACCACACCCTTTCTCACCGCATCCATGTCTAATAAACAAGAAATAATGCAGTTTCTATTGGAACGAGGGCCAAAGGAGCAGATCAATGATATGAACAAGTTCTCGAATGGACCGTTACATGTGGCATGCCTTAACGATAGTTATGACGTGGTAGTATGGCTGTTGAAGTTGGGAGTACCAATAAACAAGTCAGGACATGTAGGAAAGACTCCATTGCACTTTGCCTGTGAGTTTGGCTTTACAGACATTATCAAGGCGCTTATTAGCCACGGAGCAGATATTCACAAGCGAAGTAAAAATGGTAACAGCCCTATCCTAAGCTCCTGTTTCTACGCACAACTACGGAGTCTCGAGACGTTGATAGTTCATGGTGCATCGATTTCTGATGTTAATGGTCAACGCAACAATTGTTTTCATAATGTTATACTAGCAAATAATGAGTTCTCGGACTCACACAAACACATACTGGAGACATTAGTTGGCGCAGGACTAAACATCAACCAGCCTAACCGTGCGGGCTATTCACCTCTTTGGATGGCCTGCGAGAAACAAAAGGATGCGCATATCCAATGCCTTCTCCATCTAGGTGCTGATATTAACTATAAAGTGGCCTCTAATGGATCCACCGCTCTTATGGAGGCGTGCTGTAAGCCAGATACAGAGACCGTTAAGACGCTCCTGAAGTTGGAACCTGACATGACCATCACAAACAACGACGGACAGACTGCTTTAGCACTGGCCTGTCGCTTCGGCCAACTTGGGAATGTTAAGGCTCTAATAAACAACGGTGCTACAGTCACAATCTGTGATAAAGATGGACATACACCCTTATATACTGCGGTCATGTGCGGTCATATTGATGTTGCGCTTGAAATATTAGCGACACCAGATTATTTTCCACAAAATGTTGTGCAAAAGAAGGCTTTTACGGAGCGTAAGATAAGAGGTATGGAGAACGTTCGCAAAATTGAGGACAAGTTGTTGAAGAGCTTTGAAACCACCGAATACCAGGAACAGGAACCTATTGAGAGGATCCTGCATTGGGCAATTGTGAATGGTGCCTTCAAACTGGCTCATCGTTGCATCTCTCAAAACCTAGAGGTACTGCAGTGGAAGCGGAACGGTGCTACCTGGCTTCATGTGGCAGCTCTGCATGGGCAGCATGGATTTATTGAACTCGTAGGGAAAACACCGTCCCATAAAATTGATGTCTTTGCGACGGCCGAAGACAGTATCACGGCTCTACATCTAGCAACTATTGACGGCAACGTCAAGACTGTGAAGTCTCTCTTACAGATGATTCCCAAGCAATCTGATAGGGTCGAAGCTATTATAAAACAAAATAGCCAAAGTGAGTCTCCCCTAACAATTTCGATAGCCAGAAGACACAAAAACCTAGAAGATATATTCTGGGATGTCATCAGTCAACTTGGGACTGTCGACAAGAGTTTTATGCAGAAGAACCCGGAAAAGGCCAGTAAGATCCTCGAGCTGGTTTCTATATATGAAACACCAGGGAATGAAGTCGTCCTGCATCAACTACTTCGCCAATGGTACCAGGATAAACAAGTTGAAGATCGGCAAGATTTCACAACTCTTCACTTAGCAGTCTATTGTTCCCAAGCCGTCGTGGTATGGTGGCTGTTGTCCAAGGGCGGATACTCTGACTGTATTGAGAGCGCCCTTGAGCTTTTGCAAGGACGAGATGAAGACGACAGCGTCGAAAGTTACATCAAAGGTTTACTTCTGCATCCACCTCCAATCCTTGCCCGAGTTGCCAACCCAAATAATGATCGCATAACTTCACCACCAATACTTGCAAATGAAGAAAATCGCGCGCTGAAGATGCAAGGGAATATTGTCGATATTTACTCTAAAGGTGGAAGGGTAAGTATCCCATATACAAAGTCTAGTATCAACAATATCGTCTACGAAGAAGGTCCGGAATGCCTCATGGCGAACGCTCGAAAGAACTTAAACTTAGATGGGCTGAAGAGGAAATTAGAACGAGGTACTATTCGTGAAGACAAATGGGGGGTTAGCAACCCTTTGAATAACCACGGGACTCTTCACACAACGATAGCCGAACCAAATCAACATGATATCGATATTGATGAAGGGGGGTTCGGTGGAGTTACTGAATATCTTAAGCTTCGTTGGATTCATCTTCCTGTTAATGATGTGAGAACCCTTGCTCCGTGTGAATACTAGTCTTTACACAACATTGACAGATACATTATGAACAGTTACAAATCATGAGAGTAAGACTCACAAAACGGTTCAATCTACACAGAAACCTCATACTAACCTGTCTCTCTCTCAAGGATCTAGTCTGTCGGCTGTCGCATGATGCAAGACGTTTGGCGATGGACCATACAGCCTTGATGAAGCACTTTAATAACAGCTGGACCGAATTAGCGGCGGGTGGGAAACGGAACTACATGAAACCGCAATGTGTTGTACGTGTGCAAGTGTATTTCTACGATAATGTTAAGAGCTTACCATATTCGTCTCTATAGCGAAAAGAAATAGATCACTCTGATCACCCGAACGATAATCAAGACAGAAACTGGCCGTCGAGAGAGAATTCTACCTGCACGGCTCTCTATGTATGTATTAACAACAGCCTTGCTCAGGGTTGGAACATAATATACTGACTCTCACCAAAATAGATGCCATACCTCACATTAGGGACTTATCCTCGCGTAGACTCTGACCTTAATACCGATAGGTCTGATATGTTCGAGGAGTCAATAAGTAATTATAACTCGAGACAAATCAAACACAAGTCCATGACGCTTGATCAGTACTACTACCCAACTATTGCTAATTCTGATGAAAGAGATAATGATCAAGTCCTGTCAAAATTTCTAAACGAAAAAGATGAACTAGGCCAGAAGAAAATTTTATTAGTAAATCAAATATGGATATGGATCATCGATGAAAGTGTGGCTATCGGTATTAATACATACAGACAGGTTTCCAAGCTAACGCATCCCAGAAACCATCATCAGCGCTACGACGGAGGATTCAGGACACACGAAGAATTTGTTCCAGAATATTCAGAACAATATTCTTTATGGCGAGACCAAAAGTCGGTTTGAACGTGCTACGTCGGTTCAGTCTATTATGGAGCTGTTTGTAGGAGCAGCAAGCGGATTCTTCATGGAAAAGTTCATATCCTGACCAGGTCAAGACATGGGGCAACGAACAAATAAGGGGCCGATCGAGATATTCAGGGAATCGATCAGAAAAGTGGTTCGTTATCGTGGTCATATATACTCACGACTACCTAATAGTCGGAGCTAATCGACTTTGGTAGGCTGATGATGAAACTCGGCTCTTCCGAGATTTTCTCCAAGGTCTGCGCAATGAAGCCAAGGGACAAGAAGGGCCCATCGGAAAAGACCCTCGATCCAATTCGCGAGCCCAGCAAACATCTCAGAATCGCTATCATATCATCTCACCCGAAACCGAGCTTCTTGAGTTGATACGGGATATTCGCGATGAGCTCCACATCCTCAGGTCTTTAGCGGAGGACCAAGATGTTGTATGGAAACAGGCCTTTACTCCCGGTCAATTTCAGTACTATCACTCTTGCACGCCTGCTGATGTCAAGAAGAGTCTTGATGACATGCTCTTAGAAGCGGAGAAAACGACCAACTATGTTAGTTTTGTTGTTGTTGTTTCCTAGATGGCCTTCATCTTGGTCTAACTTGAAAGATAGATCAACGACCTTCTCGACTTGCGACAAGCGGAGTACAATCGAGTGCAAGCTAACGATTCTGCTAACCAATCGAAAAGTATCTTTATATTCACCGTCGTCACTATCGTATTCGTAAGTAATTATAAAGTAGGATGATAATATTTGGAAAGAGTATTTCGCTGACGATATCGTCCATTTATTCAGCTCCCCCTTTCGTTTCTTTCATCCCTGTTTGCGCTTGACGTAACTAGTTTCCCCCACGAATCAGGAGACTTGAAGTACGAAGCATGGTGGCTATTTCCGATTCTATGTGAGCATTCCCAGCGCCCATGAAGCTCAGTACTGATACTTGATAGTTGGTGTGACGGCTGCCGTGTCCATTCCCGCTATTTTCTTAGCATGGAATGTGAATGCCATCTCAGAGCGATTCCAGCTACGGGTTAAAAAAGATTCCACGGAAATATCGGCGACTACAGATGCAGGTGATGTTCCAGCACAGAAGAATGCATCGAGATTTTCTGGTGAGAGGTTGAAGCGGAGGTGGCGGAGGCGTGACAAGAATGTCCTCCCACAGCATGAGGGCCCCTAACCAGACGCTACGATCGCTTGAGAGTCTATATAGTGATTTCTCGGTATATTATACAGTTCTAATATACCCCTGAATCTGCCCCTAGCCCACTTATACCCTGACATTAGAATCCTTACCATCTTCAACACTATTCCAACAGGCGGACGTGGAGTAAACCATTGTGCCTCCTCCCCCCCCCAAAAAAAAAAAAATCCTTTGAAAGATTGAATGAGCAACGAATTTTAGATGGGAGGGTTGAAATGTAAAAAAGAAAGGGAAAATTGGCAAAAAGGGGTTAAAAAAACATACAACACCAGGGATTCGCTGGTCGTCACCGACCCAACTACTAATCCGGCAGTAACTGGTTTATCGATGGGAGAGCGGACGGGATCCCGAGTTTTCCAGATCTTATGGTCGTATGTGCTTGGTTGGGCGTTTATTACGGTATATATCTATGCGGTCGTTTGTTGACCATATCGGCAACCCCTTTATATCTCCAGACCCAACCCGCCCTAGATTAGCTAACATGAAGATCAACACAAACTACCTTGTGTGCATAATGCATATATTATGATTAGGAGATGATATGATGACACAGACGCATTCAAGGATTTACGTCGTATGTTCAAATCCTTGCTCCCTATGTATTAGCAAATTACATTCTTGATGTAGCCGTTATATGTGCCATCCCGTCATGCGTCAGAGCAAGCGGTGCCAATGAAGAGAACGGCGGTCTACTTCAGCGTAGCCGTCGTTAATAGTATCCTCGTCTGCAAGCCTATCGTTAGTAGTGTTGGTGCTACTAGTGGTGCCGTTGTTACTGTTTTTGCAGCTCCTACTACCACCAATGTTACCACCAATATTCTAAGTTAATAACATGATACTATATAAAAGACCTTAGCTTAGGTATTTCAGGATGTATGAGAGTCAGAGTTTTACGTTAGTGTCAGCAAATGAAAACATCATACTGTTGAAGAGAGAATAACTATATTAAACCCAGGTTAGATTAAATCATTGATATTAGTTGATTTGACAACATCAAGTGTCAACAGCGCCACGTTTGGCAGGCCCCTAAGCTTAGACGTCTTGGAGGGATTGAAAGCCGTGGCAAAAATGTGAAACCCGCACTACTAGAAGATAGTAGTCAATTCGGAGTCAATCCCGCTATCGCTGCAGCCTATAATGAGGATGATTTTTCTGGAGCTTATTGAGTGTATGCGATAATAGGATTGTAGTTCTGATATGGGTAGTTATGAGACGGAGACTAGAATTGAAAATAAGGGTAGGATGATTAAGAAAGGGAGATAGAACCTTGGAAGCTGATAGTTGCAAACTTGCGTCGAAGTCTGGTTGATTGGCTGGTTGGCTGGTCGCGCCGCGGAGCCTATTAAGGGATATTTAGACATACTTTTGGTTCTAAGTGAGAAAGGGTCAAATATTAGTACTAGGTTAGCTATCTACATATTGGGCCTCTAGGTAATACTTTTAGTTATATCAAGACTTCCTTTGAAGCAGTCTCAAATGAGACGGGCAGTTCTTTGAACTACTTTATTAGTAACTCTGAACGTAACATTCCATGCCCATCCTGGATGAGGGCCTAGACACAGCTAGGAACCTCTTTGAGATAAGCCTCATGGCTCCAATTTCCCTTATTCAAGCCTTTGCCCTTTGCCCCCAGCCCCCACCTAGATAGGTGTTGTAGATGGCGTGGTACGGAACTGGCTATTGATAAAAGGAAATAGGGAATAACTTTGCTTCGATCGACTTGAGTAAGCCGCGTGCATGTGTGCCGTGATCTTAGAAGGCCAATTGTGAAATTTCCGTAGCAAAGCTGACAATGCTACGAAGAGCTTACATCTAGGTTGCATCAGCTTAGATCTGATTGGCTATGGCTAGCACGTATGTTTCGATATATGTCGTCGGCTACTAGCAGATAACCAATATATAGTTATATTAATGCATACATGATATATGCAAGTGCATTACTAACAGACGCCCAGGCGCTTATGATATTCAGGGGGAAGTAACATAGTAGGGTCGGTAGTGTAATTTCAATAGATAAGAGGTGTCTTGCGAGGTAGTAATTAATGCCCCATCAACGAGGATACCGGGTCTATATTTTCTAGTCTATCCCCCTAGAAGACTTGTTGAAGAGAGGATATTAGCTAGCATAGGCCTACTATACAATTACATTCATTCGATTCGATCGATATGATTCCCATGTTTCACGCAGACTTCCGGGACCTCGTTAATGACGAGAGGATTCATCGTGTGTTGTTTCTATTTCTGATTGGGACTTATGTCTATACTGAGGTCAAGTCGTGGTGGCATGTAGGTGTAAAAGGCCGTATTCTAGATACTACAAGTCTAACCCATCGAAACAGATTCTTCTACGCCCGTTATATGTGAAAATCATATCAATGCTTAGTGACTATGTTGGTTATTCCTATTTTGATACTCATCCCTCCCGCATAAGTACATGTCACTAACAGTTCATAGCGATCCGGGAAGTACTACAAGCCATGGGGACCAACTACGCCGATCGTTATTGTATCCACAAAGAAGCAGATCGCCGAGCTTAGCGAAGCACCATGTCTCTCCCAGCGAGCTGTGTATGCCGATGTAAGTTAACTTCATCTCTGGCATGAGTTTTTATGCAAGTCTAATCATGTACAGATGTTTGGGTTTAAGCACACCATGAATAAACTTGAACACAATACCAGCAACAACAAAGTTATTAGGACACGTCTATATAGTCGTCTTCTCCAAGTCAATGGGCCCGTCCACCTAGATGCTCTCTATCCTCATTTGCTCAATCAGTTCGATATTAACCTAGAAAGAGAACTTCGCGGTGGGCGTGTTGTTAATGGTGAATCCCAAATCTTGGACATTTGCGAAGTTAATATCACTCTAACGTGGACCCCAGGAGGTATTTCCTTACCTATTGCACAGACAGCTCGTCGGCTCGTCTCTAAGCTTATGAGTCTTATGTTTTTTGGAGAGGCCCTATGTAGGTGGAATATATGCGATATCCTATCTTGAAAGGACTAAGCTAACATTTCATATAGCTCTGGATGAGGAGTTTTCCTCCGCGCTCTTGCGTTATCCCCAGGATATGGTGAAGTGTATGGCTGCCTTTCAGGTAGCACCGTCATTTATGTCACCGTATGTCAAACACTCAGTTGTTTTACCCATATATGTAACAAGTCTTAAAATACTAATCCCATTAGGGTTATACATGCAGTCCTTACCAACCGTGGAGAGGCTATGCACCTGATCCAGAAGAGGCTTTTCCAGTGCATAGGCTCGGGACTTTCAAACCAAAACGAAGCAGATAAAATCCAACTCGTAAGTTCTCCCTGAAACATAAAGGGGTAAACATTGGTTAATTGATATTCTCTTTTAGCACACCATTCTTTATAATATCATTGCATTAACAAGCAGCAGCGAATATTGGAATGCAGACCTTCTCTCGCAGTCTCTTCTAGGGATTTGGTTTGCTGCCTCTCATCAGCCGTGGATGAATCTGCACTTCGTCATATTAGAATTGTGCGAACGCAAGGAATGGCAAAGAAAACTACGCCAAGAACTAGAGCAGCACGTCCCGCTAGACTATAAACGCCTGGAGCAATTGCCCCTTTTGGATGGCTTCATAAAGGAAACCGTTAGATGTAATCCTCTAGATACGCGTATGAGTTGCCCTATGGAATTCCGTCTCAATATTGAAATATGCTAATCATGTTGATAGTTGCAATACGCAGAAAGGCATTGGAGCCTTATACCTTTTCGGACGGATCTTTGTCTGTTCCCTCGGGCGCAACAGTTTGTGTATCGGCATATGATCTTATGCATAACCCACAGACATATCCTGATCCAACTGCCTTTAATCCTAGTCGATATCTACTCAAAGAACCCAATAGTCAACAGCGGAAGTTTACTGAAGTCTCCGAGACATATCCTATCTGGGGTTATGGGTCTCTTGCCTGGTAAGTGTTATTTCAGTCTGTTTTGCACTTTCGCCTACTCATCTTCTATGATTTAGCCCTGGCCGGTTCCACGCATCGTTAGCCATGAAGATGGTCATATCGCAGCTACTTCTAAAGTATGATCTAAGTCTTGAAAACGAGAATTCTAGCACTAGGTGGTCTTGGGAAACATTTGCCATGCCATACCAAAATACCAGAGTCATCTTGAAGGAGCACGGTTTGCAGACTATGTAGTTCGTACAAGTGGATGAGACTGGGTGCAAAATAGGGGCGTGCAAAGATATAGGTACCTTTTTATTTTGATAGTAGGCATAGTTTATATTATACAGATAGCATACTCCCAGGAAGAGGCTATTACAATAACGTGTTGACATGAGGCGACTAGTTTGACATCAAGTATTTCTATCAACTAACTGGCTCTGTCTGCTAGGAAATGAGTTCGATCTCCTTATTCCTTCCGAACTGTAGACAAAGCTCAGTGCTCGTAGCTCTTCTAGTCAATGTTTATCAACCCCAATCCAATATACCCTATCTGAGCTAAATAGCCATACCGACAAATAGACACCACTACCACAGCAACAAGCAAGCATTCTCAAATCCTAAACTCTCACTTTCTTGTGGTTCCCACCTACCTAGTCGGGAGGTTTCTCTGATATAGAAAATTTACTCGGGCTATGCAATATGCAGTGCCTACAGAAGTAGTCACGCTTGACTAACAAGCCACGAAAGTAAATGTTGCTTATTACAGAAGAGCCATTGGCAGTCTCGCGCGGAGACGCTGGATTTCTGTGCAAATGCAAGTTTCTAATAAACAGATGGACTTCCGCCTAGGTTAGGCTTCGCCGCACGAAGAAGTGAGAGAGCGATTAAAGTATGCTGTTGTCATCATGAGAGCAGGCTACAGCCAGAATGACTAGAAGACACCAGAGTTAGGTAGATTGGTTAGCTTAAAGTTGAGATAGTAGTTACCCCCCTGGCAGTATATCACCGAATTTCCACTCCGAGTTTTTCCACCAAAGCTTTATTGACCTTGTCATGAAGATCATTAGTCTCTGCATTAGTCAGAGTCCGTTCGAGGCTACGGTAGTTGATCCGGTAGCACATGCTCTTCCTCCCAGTCTTAGGGTGAGTAAACTGGTCTACTAGCTTGACATCCTCGACGTCATCTCCAGCCACGCTGCGTACGACTTCCATTACGTCGTTCTCGTGAAAGTCGTGCGCGTTGGCTTTGGTATTGCCCCCAGCCGCGGACAACGGCCTCAGCCAGAATGATACATCTTTAGCGCAAATAGGGTACCTAGAAAAAGGCACGAAGCGTTTTAGCGAACTCAAGTCGTCCGAAACACCCCTGAATTGGGCTAGGAAACGCTCGTCCTGTGACCAGAAGAGACGAATGTCTGGTATTTGAAACAGTAGCATGGCGATTCTTTCAAGGCCAATACCGAAAGCCCAGCCTAGTTGATTTGGCACACCTGCATTGATATACAGGTCCTGTCTGACTACACCGCAACCTAGTACTTCTAGCCAATCACCGCCGTAGTAAACTTCAAGCTCCCAAGAGGGACTTGTAAAAGGGAAGTACGCCTCGACCCATCGTACCTGGAGCGGTTCATCTATGAACCTAGGGTCGGCCCTTACAGCAGCTGCTTTGGCGCGGGTGAAGATCTCGACGACCATGAGCTCTAGCGACCTCTTCAGATGGGCAGCGATAGCCTCGGCCTCGGCCGGGGAGTGATGTGCCGTTTGCCGAGGATTCCTCTCGTCGTGGAACGGTGGGTCTGAGTCCTCGACTTGGATATTGTGTTTCGGTAGTTTTTCTAGGTCCGCCCATATAGCCGCCGCAACATCCCCATTGGGTACTTTAGCGCGATCCCACGACCGCGCACCCTCCATCTGGTGGAATATGGGGTAATGACTCCTATCAATTTCATCACGGCGGTAGACATCGGCACTGATTAGGTATCCTTCGCTCAGATTCGCCCGGAACACCTCTGCTTGATGGGCGCTCGTGTGCGTTCGGAGTAGCGTGTCGCAATTGACATAGTATGTGTCTGACTTAGCCCGCCCGGGGTGGTCTTTTGGGAACCCTAGCGAATCGAAGTTCTGGTAAGTTGTAACGACAGGGTCGAAGTCATTGTGGTATTTGAAGGTCGGGCCCGGGAATACGGACTCGACGATCTGCCGGGTTATGTATACGGGATGGTCTTTTTGTAGGTGTAATCGGCGGGGGACTTTTTCAATGATATTGTGAGGTACATTGAACCAAGAATCTGTCTGATAGGTGGTGCCATTGATTACGGTAGAGGTTGTATTGGTTCGGCATTGAAGTATCGAGGTAACTGGGTATAGACATATAAGTGTTAGGGGAGTTGAGCTGCATAAGTGATTAAAGCTCACCACACACCTCCCGACAGGCCTCTTTGACGATTTATTCGTCGTAAAATATTAGAGCTGAGGCTATTTGCGCCGTCAGGAATTGCGCTAGCTGTTCTTCTTGCTCGAAGACATGATGTAGTGAGCCGGTTTGCCCACATGGTCGCGCGTGGAGGGGCTGTTGGAGGTTGTGGCCTATGTAGAGGCTTAGAGGCTAGAGCTAAGAGATTTTCGCAAAAGCTTCGACAAAATTGGTTCAAAATTGGTTCAACGTTCAATGTCTTGCAGATCCGCGGGGCAACTTGTACAATGTACCTAGGTTAACATGTTAGGTTACCTAGGTACCTACCAGGTAGCATTGACCTTATAAACCACATGCAGCCAATAAACTTACAACGCTCTAAGGGAAGGCGCTATGAAGCCGTATCAAATCATCCAAACATGAAGTTACCTACCTTGATGTGAAGCTGCACTATGAGGTACAGTACATTTTAGTTAGGTAGATCCATGTGAGGGATAGGTCACTGATACGCGACATTAGTGCATGGCTGCATGTCAACATTGAAGTACCAGAGTACCTAACCTAATGTAGGTACCGGCGAACCCTTTCTGCTTGTAACACCTGAATTACCAATAATGATTCCACCTTCTCGGGCGAAAAAGACCCGGACAAAAAATAAACACCGGTAAACCCGAGCACCGGCCCATGTTTTTTCTCTTAGCCTTTTTTTCTTCGATGAAGACCTTGAAGTCATTCCATGCCGTCAGGGCTTAGCCGCCAACTTTTCCTCCGAGCTACGGTCAGCTACACTGTTCTTTATTTACGTACATATGGCTTGGGCTCGCTGCATTTGGTAAGTGAATTAAGTCTAGGGTTTTTCTTATACTACCAATTCCAATTCTTACTTTACAACGTACATACAACATACATACATACGTTATATGTACATGCCTGACTTACTATTACTCCTCCCAACCCATTCTTACTCTTACGGCATAGACAGAAAACAGGAGTGCTAAAATAGTAAGCAAGCCATAGGGATGCTGCTTTTCGTCCATTCATTCTTCGAGTTACTCCCCCGTCTAGTGTAACATTCCATTTCCAATCTTAAAGATGCAGTCCGTACCTCCTCTTCCTCCGACGACCTCCCATGAGCCGTCCGTCGCCGCTACACCCGCCTCCGCAGCCGCCGCCGTAGCCGCCGCCAATGCCAAGCCTAAAAATCTAGAAAAGAAGAAGGCCGCCCTAGCCCACCAGCGCATCTCGTATCCCTTCTGGTTCGGCGGGAGCGCGAGTAGTCTTGCCGCCTGTGTGACACATCCGCTCGATCTCGGTATGTTTTGCGATCAAGAAAAAAAAACCCTTTCCATATGTCCAAGCTTCTCAGCCTTACGGAGGTACTAAATCGGACCAGCTTCCGCTAACGGATGACGTACATATATATAGTCAAAGTCCGGCTCCAATTGCGAACCGGCGATGCTCCCAAGAACATGAGCGGCACCTTCGTACACGTCGTGCGGACGCGGGGGGTCCGGGGGCTGTATAACGGCCTATCGGCGTCGCTGCTCCGGCAGATGACGTACTCAACCGTTCGTTTCGGCGTGTACGAAGAGCTCAAGGCTCACTTCACAGCAGATGGCCACAAGCCTTCGTTACCGTTACTCATCGGACTGTCGACGTTTTCTGGTTTCCTAGGTGGAATATCCGGAAACGCCGCGGACGTAACCAACGTGCGCATGCAGCAGGACGCAGCGCTACCAGCAGCCCAGCGCCGGGGCTATAAGCACGGACTCGACGGTATGTTCCGTATGCTCCGTGACGAAGGGGTCCGGAGTTGGTTCCGTGGGGTCCTGCCGAACAGCACCCGCGCCGCGCTCATGAATGCCGGCCAACTGGCTAGCTATGATACGTTCAAGGGGATGCTGATAGCGTACACGCCGCTGGGTGATACCACTACGACGCACTTTGCCAGCTCATTGTTTGCCGGGTTCGTGGCTACTACGATATGCTCACCAGTCGACGTCATCAAGAGCCGAGTAATGAGCACGAGTCACAAGCAGGGGATTGCCCACCTGCTACGTGAGATCTATGCCAAGGAGGGCGCCTCATGGATGTTCAAGGGCTGGGTACCGGCCTTTTTAAGGTTAGGACCGTAAGTGTCGCCCTCGTCTAACTAAGCTTTCTCCCATCTTGATCACTAACGATATCGACAGGCAAACGATATGTACATTTTTGTTCTTAGAAGCACACCGCAAGGTTTATAGAAAGTTCAAGGGGATTGAATAAGTATTCCTGGATGCAGATACGGATGAGCCTCGATATAACACAGATAGAATGGACATGGATCTAGAGGTTATACCTAGAATGACGGCGTTTGGGAGACATTGGTAATTTTAGCTGTCGGTCAGTTTAGGGTACAATGCTTTCTATTGCGTGTATTATAAGCGATCTGGTTTTCCAGACACGCGCGTATATCTACCATATGGAGAGCTGCTTTTATGTGAAAATGCGCATGCCCGCTTTCTCTAACCTGAGTATCCCCTAAACTCCGCGTGATGATACAATGCAACGCACCTAGATGGCGTCTCAAGAAAACCAACATTCAGACTTGGCCTCGAGGTGACTCAAAACCTCATATTGTACAGTGTATGTTGTGAAAAGACTGCCTTCTGAGAAAAGCAAGCTCATTAGGGGTATAAGGTGCTTAACTCCATCCATTAGAACCAGAGTTGCCGTAAGGTGTCGTTCCGTACGCCGTAGCTCCACCTCCCCAAGCACTAGCAGCCCCGGGATTACCGTAAGGGGTGCTATAGCCCTGCTCCAGATAGCCTGCGCCGGTATCCATGCCATCAGGGCTACGAGGGCCATCGTATTCGCCATTCATGCCTTCGCTTTCTCCAAGCCCGTGGATCAGACCGGCAAGCTTGCGCTGCAACTCCTTAACACCCTCCAAGATGATCGCATCGGATTGGATGTTTCCAATGCCTTCAACCTCAAAATAGAATCGCGACGGAACGGCATCATAGTCGAAGGGTTGGCCTTCAGCAGGCGGCTCCTCAATATCGGCATACTTCGACTTCGGCCTAACAGTACAGTTAATTACCTCCAAATCAATACAACAGGTGCCAGGATACCAACCACTCAGCCTCAGGATCTGTCTCGTACCACAAGTCCAGATGATGGAGCTTGTTGTGTGGATCGTATTCGAAACCGATGGCAGAAGTAGGAGACCACTTAGCATGCTCTTTTGCGATACCCTTTTTCGCGATACAGTTGAGCTTCAGCTCCTGGCCCTTTCGCAGCTTGCATATTAAAGAACCAAGCCCATCAGGATCTGTGATGACCGGGTTGCCAATCTCGCTGTTAGGTCTGTTAAATCCAACAACTAGATCGCTAGCATACACCTTCATAACTTCGTCGCTCGTGCACTTCGCGTGTAGGGAGAGGGTTACACTACATCTTTCGCAGTTCTGCTCGCAGTCGCAATCCCGTGAGTAGGACAGATTATCAATTTCGCTAGAGTTAAGAGGAATTAAGCCGAGGCGATGGCTGATGAATTCGTCGGCAAGGACGGATGTGTTTGCTTCAATTTCGACGAGGTCAATAGCAATGGTTGGGACTTCGGCGTGCATGACGCGTCGGAGGGAGTTCGCGAGAGATATGTCGACGTTACTCAGCTCGAAATCAACATGATATCGGTCAGCCTAGGAAGAAAATATAATTAGAACTAAAGTCTTCTAAGCATGGCAATAATGGCATCTCATACTGCCGAGACCTGAATCTTGGGTCCAAAATCCTCTTTAAAGTCACTATCCATCATAGTATCGTATTCCATCATGGCGACTGATGCAGCACGAGCTGCGCGTAACGCTGAATTAAAGGTCTTTTGGGGGGCTTAGACTAAAGGAGGTAATGTAATAACTGCTCCCAAAGGGCGAAAGTATGTTGGGTCGTCTTTTGCGGTGTGATTAGAAAAGGATGAGAAAGCTTAGAGAGTTGTCAAGGCTGAAAGATTTCGAAATAACCCACCTGGGCACCCGCATCAGGTACAATACCTACCTAATTGGCGGGCGCTACGACTAGAGCGGTTTAGTGCCCACCTGCATCTTTCAGTGGCGGGAACGCGTTAGTGGAGATAAGTGTGGCTTAATTACAAACGCAAGGCTGATTGTGTATTATGTAATTCTCCAAGAACATCTCTCAGAGGTTTCATCGTAAAAAAAAGTATGGTTGATTGCGTATGACGTATTGGGGCTACAGACTCTAAAGTCACGAATATTACCTCGAGTCCTCCCTCTAGAGTAACAAGACCATTGACAGACAAAAATCATAGGATACATCAATTTACTACTACCGTTGAAGGGAGGTAATAATTAGAAACTTTCCACCTTCAGGAGGTATGATTCTACCTTAAACAATAGAGGTGAGGTGGGAAATGCCGATATATTGGGAGATTCATCGTATTTGAACATAAGTACTACCTACATGCAGATTCATAGTACAATAATCTAGGAATTGCAACCTGCTTCACTATTCTAAAGTATGGTGGAACCATCTTCGCGATCCTAGGCAAGCTAGAAATAGCAATGAAAGTTAGCATCACCTGGAGGCAGTGTAATACCAGGGACACGGTGGGAATGATCATGGGCAAGCCCAGAGGATGCGCTCCCCAAGGACAAAAATTAGAATAATAACGATTGAGTTACTATGTAACTCTTTCAGATATTAAACTGAAAAGAACAGATACTACACTTGATCTAAGCCAAAAGGCAAAGAGAGCTAAAGAAGAAAGGAAGAAGAAAAGATTGTAAAACTGGGAGGGGAAGCCAGGTATTTATGGAATTGTGTGGGGCGGTGATGACGGGCAGAAAGGTGCGTCACAGCTGGCAGGTGCTAGGCAGTCCATTCTATCACTTGACAGGCAAGTGATACCACCTATTGCAGGCGTGGGCAAATGGGCAAAAGCTCTTGCCAAAAAAAAAATTATTGCAAAGGTTGATTGCCCCAGCTCGAGGGGATTCGGTAACCGTCCGCCTACATACATAATACATACATATATACATACATACCTACCTATACATACCTGCGCACGCGACCTTTCAGACCTTGCCTTCCTACATCCCTACCTACCTAACCTAGGTTTCTACCCTTCTGCCCTCGAGCGGCATATACTCATCCCCCCCCTCATACACGTCATCATGTTAAAACAAGTAATTTCTAAGTCGGCGAGAGCTGTTTGCTCCAACTCGAGAACAATTGCCCAACGGCCTTTACTACGGATACAATTCTCACCGGCACCTTTAAGTCCTCTACGAAGCATAAGATATTATAGCGACCAACCGGAATCGGCTGCAAAAAAGGAGGACGAAGGACCAACTGCGCAGGTGGAAGCACAGGATGGCGAGGCAGCCAAACCATCAGATGCTGAAGCCGAGCTTAAGAAGAAGTTAGAAGCCAAAGAAAAAGAAGCCATTGACTGGAAGGTGAATGCGCCAAGTGCACTAGAACATATACCAGAAGCTGTGACCTAACAATTCATGCAGGACAAATATCTACGGTCGGTAGCCGACTTCAGAAATCTTCAGGAGCGAACACAGAGAGAGATGAAGGCAGCACGCGACTTTGCAATCCAAAAATTCGCCAAAGATTTAGTCGATAGCGTCGACAATTTGGACAGGGCTCTAACAATGGGTCAAGAGAAGATCAAGTCCATGGAAGAGGAGCAGAAGAACGAGGATCTGATCAATTTTTACGAAGGCGTCAAGATGACCGAGACCAACATGCTCCAGACCCTCTCTAAGCACGGCCTGGAACGATTCGATCCCGAGGGAGAAAAGTTCAACCCTAACGAGCACGAAGCAACGTTCATGACCCCAATGCCCGGCAAGGAGGATAACACGGTCTTCCACGTTCAGCAAAAGGGATTCAAACTAAACGGAAGAGTGCTCCGAGCCGCCAAGGTCGGCGTAGTCAAGAGCCAATAAACGATATGAACGAAGCCAATTTTTCACTGTATAATATGAAAGACCTTGTATACCAGCACGACGGGGTTGGCGTTGGGTAATGTATATAAAAATGCTCCTCTCACGAAAAAAGGCGGTTGGCGGAGATTCCCTGCTTACAAGGTATACATGCATGGCATGGCATAGCATGATATGGCTTTGGCTTGACTTAGCTGTTAATATCACAGCTTCTCGATCTAACTAGTGTATATGGATCCTGGGGTTTTACGTTGTGTAGAGCGGTTATGAAATCATTGGGTCGAGACGATTACCATCTAATGAATATATCCTCTTCGTATCCAGTATTGAAGGTGCGCAAGCAATGGAATTATATTATTGTGCCGAAGCCATAGGTACCTCATTTACTTTTACCATATGTGCCCAATTACTACTTATTAGCTAACAATTAGCTAACGCAACACAACTCGAAGTAGTTTGAGTGTCTGGATAGCATTAAAAGATAGGTAGATATCAAATCTCTGCAGTAATGCCGGTACTACTATATGTATGTACATAATGTACATATCCAATAAACTTCGGCGTTCACATGGAAATACACAGTACATGTACCTACGCCAGATAAAAATGAGCACAGACCGACACAGTACCAAAACCAATTACCTACCTAGCCTCCCCTCAAAGTTTTATCCGTGGAGATCCCTGTCGAGACTTCCAAGGCTGTTAATAACATTGTTTCCATTAATGGTCAGTGCGTAACAAGGAGTTCTCTTTGGTCTCTGGACAAAACTTCTAAAAGGGGTCATCCATAACAAAGTACTGTACATCTGTATGCGCACAACTCAGACAGCCAGTCAAAGGAAGACAAGCGTTTAAGTTTGTTACCGCAAGAATAATTGCTTCAATAAGTTACAAACTTATTCACCTGTTCGAGTCCATCTAGAATCGAATTGTCAGTTAACAACAATTGATTGCAATCGATTGCATCCATGTCGCTAGCATCGCCTACCTCAAAGGATGGATTCTCCTACGCCGGAGATCTATTCGCCGAGGCGAGCGGCCACAACCGGCATCGGCGTGCCACCGTAGCGGAGCTCAAAGACCACTTCAAGTCCGGTTCCGAGAAGGATCACCCGGCCCATTGGTTCGAGGCCCAGCTCATCCACTACGGTCTGCAGGTCTCCAAAACAAAGGCCGTGGCTCGTATGCGCCTCTTCGACGCCGTCAACGCGGGAAATCTTTCCATCCCGGCTCATATCCAGAAGTTGGAGTCCGAGCTGAAGAAGGAATGGATCAAAAAGGAGCGCGAGGCTAAAAAAGCCTTCAAGGACGCTGCCTCTTCACCTGCGCCCAAGGCTACCGGTGCCAAGCGCAAGGCTGAGTCTTCGAATGTCGATGTGACTGTTAGCGTCGGCGGCATCAATGTCACCGTCTCTGCTAGCAATTCGAATAAGAAGGCCAAGACACCCACTAAATCAGCTGCTACTGCTGCGCCGTCCAAAGCCGCAAAGAAGACGGAGACCAAGCCCAAGGCTCCAAAGGCTCCAAAGGCGGCTGCCACCCCGAAGGCAGCTTCAGCAACTACTACATCCAAGACTACAGCATCCAAAACTACGGTTTCAAAGACCACCGTATCAAAAACTACCACCACCAAAACCACCGCTGCAAAACCTCCTCTGGCCGGACGGATGGCCCGTCGCGGGGGAGTCTACCAAAGCCTCAGCCGCGAGAGCAGCGCGGCAACATCAATAGCATCAACCCCTCAACCCGCGCGACCTCCCCAATTTGCCTTTCGCGGCCGGGGCCAGGCGACCAGAGGCCGAGGCGGTACCAGCAACAGCCCGTCCCCTGTGAAGAGGGAGCACTCCGACGACGACGACGACGACGACGTCAAATACGAAGACAGCGATGACGGATACGGCCACCCCAGCAGTTCGTACCGGAACAGTGCCGATTTATACGACAACGACGACGAGGACCTCAAGCCCCTGGGCCTGCTCAACGGGCGGTACGTGCTGACCAGCGACTTCGTGACCTCGGAATGGGGCCACAGGAACTTCTCGCTAGTCTTCACCTTGAGCGGAACTGAGCTCTGGGGGCGTTTCGACTTGGGCATCGTCAGCGGCGTCATGCGCCTGCCCCAACGGCCGTGGCAGTCCTCCACCGAGTCATTGAGGTTCACCTGGCGTGGGCAGGAGCTGGAAGGGCCGATGATGTATGGAGACTCCAATCACGGGTCGATGCGATTCCTCGGAGGCGGAAAAGTGGAGGGCGAGCTGGATTGGATGGGGATTACGTTTGAGGGGAATCGGGTAGTGGGACAAGGCACTAGGAGCGAGGTCGATATTAGTAGGATGAGGACCGAATGGGAGGGGTATAACGAGGATGAGTATGAAAGGGAGAATCGCAGTCGGTGGTAGTACAGTTTCTGTTGTCGGCTCATGGGCAGTTGTAGTTGTAGTATCAAGGCTACACGCAGTACGCGGTTTTCCGAGCCAAAGGGCCATTTCAAATACTCTCATGTACAATTTGATTAGGGCGTCAAGTTACGCATTATACGTTGCATTTGTATTATAGGAGTTAGTTCAAGTTTTTATAGTGACCACTACAGTGGCTCATGTTGGGCTACAAAGAAAGGGGGGATATAATCATTAAAGTGTGTTCTTGTTATACTCGTCACGAATTACTACACTGGGCATTTTGCAGGGCATTTGCAACTAAAATTGCAACAAAGGAATTCCGTTGTCAATTAAGCTCATTCAAGCACAGAGAATAGTACCTAGGTATTAGCCTACATGTATCAAGCAAAGCAGTTCATCATTTGTACTCTCAACGTCATCCGCCCATCCATCCATCCATCCATCCATCCATGAATCATCTCATCATATGCAAATCCAGCCCTTTTGAATTCCGAAACTTGTCAACCGTCGATTTCGTATTGAGAGTTTTGTTTCTCAACAACAGTAAAAAAGACAACGCAGTTTGTCACTAAAAGAAATTTGAAAGACCAACCCCTCAAAGGCCTAGCTGGCTACTGAAGATGATGAAGGTGGTGCAAATCGTTAAGATCACAGTGTGATCAGGTGGATGTTGGTTTCAAAAAAGAAAAAAAAAACAGACACATCTGTCGCTTGGTGTCTTGGTAGACAACAAAATTATCATATAACTCCCAATAGGGAGGTATGAAGGTCGGTGTTAAGAAAACTAAAGACTGAAGACTGAAGACTGACATCTGTCATTTCATATCTCAGTAGACAACTTTATCGTTGTCAGTCCCTGATACGGGAGAGTACAAAGAATCGATTCTCGAAGGTGATATGCCATCCCAGAAAATCAAGGCCGTCGTATTAATCAGGGCAAGTTGCTGACGTATCGGCGATCCGATGGGATTAAAAAAAGGAAAAAAAGAAAAGGAGATAGAAAAGTTGCAGCTATCGACGGTCCCGTTAGAAACAGGAGATGGAAACTAGGTCACAAGTAATTGTGACCCAAATTGAAGACAACTAACTTGAAATCAAAGATGTTTAATGCAAACTGCGGCAGGCCACCGGAAATATGATGCCAGCATGATGATTTTGTGTATACCATAGAGGCCACCTAATCATAGTAAGAGCGATCAATCGGTTCAGGTTCGCCCGGGGGAGGAGCAAAGCAGATACGCTCGTGAGGACCTTGAATATGGGACAAACTCTTGCCCTTTTCTTTACGGCTTTCCTGTACAGAGGCACTCTCCTCGGTCTTGCTAGGAACGGTATCTTGAACAGCAGTATCCACGGGAGGTTTGGGCATTGACAGCCTACCGAATGGAATAGATTCATCACCTCTGCCATACGATGCCCGATGTGGACCACCGGTATGTTCACCCAAGGACCCAGGCCCGCCAGGGGATGTCTTCTTATCTTGGGAAGACAGAGAATGGCGAAGGCTGTTGATATGATCAAGGAAAGTGTGGCCGACATCTAGCGAGAGGGATGCCAATGAACAATCACCCATAGGGTCAACAAGAGTATGTCCAGAAATGGAATCAACATCTCCCATTCTATGCTTTTCCTTGATCCGCATTTCGGGCTGTGTAGTCGCGATATTAGTTGGATAGGTGTTATTACCATCAAGGGCACGGCAGAAGCTCTTAGCGCTGTGGCTCATCCCTCTTGTCACAGACCACGCAGGGCCTGAAGGGGGCGGTACGAGGCCGTTAAGTTCGTCGTAAATGCCCTGAGGACTTGTTCCAGCCAAGAGACAGTCCTCACCGATCTCCTGCTCCAGCTGCGCCAGGCGCTGCTGGTTTGCCTTGAACTTCTGCTTTGACTCGTTTCTTTGCATGTATGAACGGTCAAGTATTAGTTGCACTTCACGGATGTGGTTTCCTAGATGCTCGCGGATGCGATCATCACGAATGCCGCGTTGCTCCTGAAGCGCTTGCAATGTGCGGCGTTCTTGCTCTACACGGTACTCAGAGCGTTTTTTCTTCAGAAGAGGGATAAAGTGTTCTCGGAGAGTGTCTCGCTCAATCTCAAGCTCTTGGATCCTCTTGGCCTGTGCCGAGATCCTCTTACGGAGAGTTTCATCCTCAGCCTGTTCCTTTGAGATAGCTTTATATTGGGCCCTGAGAAAAGCGTAAATATCTGCACCGGGAATACCACTGCCGTCAGATCTGGTGATTCTGCTGGCGACATTATTAACCTCAGTCTGTGATGAAATTATTATGTTAGTCACGGCTCAATCAATGTGCTCTTTGTCTACCCGATATGATACATAAACAAAGGGGGCTAGGACTCAACATACGTCTGTGAACTTGTCATTTGTACTAGTAGGTGGCATGCTTTTCTCTGTCTTGCCATACACATGGTCTCGGAGCTTCTTGGCATCCAGAGGAGCCATGCGATCATATTGAGCTAGGAATGCAGTTGGAGCATATGAGATGCTAGGCACACCAGGAGGCGTGTAGATGAGAGACGGGCTATGGGGGACTTGGTAAAGGGGGGAGAATTCCTCTCCTGTATAGTAGTCCCTCTGAGCCTTTGCATCGTCAAGGTAGTGGGGATAATGGTCCCTAGCCGGTACGGGGCCCATTGGGCGCATTCGTTCGGCAGTAGCAAGGATCTAAATAAATACTTGATCAACAACTGTTCCAAGTAGAGAGTGCAAAAAAAGAAGAAATGAACCATTAAACTTACGTTTCTAGGGTCCATAATCTCTCTACGAACCCAAGGCTTACAATCCTGCGACCACTGGAGGAAAGTGCAAGGTGAAAGACGGCCAGTAGGAACAGCACCCTCATCATCGTCCTCATCATCACCCCATACAGGGGTACGATTATCCGTTGCTGAATAAACCCTGCGGTGAGGCAAAAGGTTCATCGCAGCTGGAGGAGCTATGTGGCTAATCGACGGCCTCCGAAGCTCAAATAGAGCATCACGGGGAGAATCACCACCCATGTTATCGGATTCGATAGCCTTATCCATATAATTCAGCATCCTAGAAGATACAAGTGTCAGTGCGACGTGTCTATATTGGGAGAGCCTTTTTGGATTATAGGAAAGTAAGCTAAAGATGGATAGATAACATACTTGGTGACGTCTCTAGGGTTGTCGGGAGGTTTGGGGATGCCATGAGGTTGAGATGCTGCTTTGCGAGCCATCTCATCGGTGTGAAATTGGATCCAATCAAACAGAGGGTCGGTGATTTCTCCCATGTCTGGACCGCGCATAGCTATGTATGCCTGCATCATCGCATTGGAAAGCGTCTGCTTATCTTCATCTCCAATCGGCTTGCTGGCAGAACAGCCAGGGACGAACTGCTGAGATTTACCGCTTGAGCCAGCACCTCCTTTTGAATTTTCAAAGGTCATCTCAGGTGTTTCTGTGAGAGGATAGTTCTCAAACGGAGGGATCCAGGGCGTAGATACTCCGCCTAGGTCATCCTCGTCCCCTGATACGTCGCGAAAGAAGTGAAGATTCGATCCCTCATCGCTGAATGAGGCTAAATCGAATTCTGAACACAGGACAGGCGGGTCCGATACTATAGTGTTGAGTATTGTTATTAGTTAAAGTAGTTACTAGATATGACTTGTAAGGGGAACTAACCTTCGCTTTCGGTAGAAAGGTTCGGATCAAGGGACGATGGTTTATGCTTGAGTCTACACATGGTGAAGAAGAGCCCAGCGTATTGGGTGATAAGAGAAACAGCAAAGAACGCCGACAAATAGAGAATAGAGATGGGGTAATGAATAAGGGATATGAATAGGTGATGAAGGTGTTTGACAACAACAGGAACGACTAGGCACGATTAGACCTAGTTGCAGAAAGTTGTATGCTATTGTTGCGGCAATAGGAGGAAATAGGAAAATAAATAGACGTGATGGTAACCGAATGTGTGTTGAGGTGTTGAGGATGTAGGCGTAAGGTGCGAAACGGAAGATTGCAAAGGTGTAAGGGGAAAAAAGAAAAGAAGGGAGAAGGAAAAAGGAAAGAGAGAAGTTAGAAATTATCATTTACTACAGCAACGAGATTCACAACTTGGAACACTACGTTGCTCCGCTACCAAGCTTGCTCACCACAACGCCTTAATTACAATGCAAAAGTCCCCTATAACTCACTAGGCCTGCAGATGGACACCGGACGTGCACCCCATCACCACGTAACCCCGTAACCCTCGGGGGGAAATACATTAGGTACCTAGGTAGTGTTGTTGTCAGCCTACACCAGGCTGTTATGTTAAGTCAAGTCTAGGTCAGCATGCCTAGCTGCACTTATCACCATCTAAAAGCGTATTCCGTAATATATAATTATTGATTAGAAGAACTTCTCGGTAGGCCTATGTTTAGGTGCTTAATACATGCGAAGACTCCAAGAACAAACCCCTTTGCCCCTGGATTCGTGATTTAAAATGCATGCATCGTCAACCCCATTCTCTTCTGAGAATGATATTGCCCTAAAGCTTATGAGATATTAACAGTAAAGCAAAACAGGCTCGGTCTACGTAAGTCGTGATAATATGTGATATATCTCACTTTTTTGCTTTGCCTTTAGCTCCGCCAGCCTTGCTCTTGCGGCTCTTTGCTGGCTTCTCGTCTTCATCTCCGCCCTCGGCTGCTGCGGCTTTCTTGCCGCCTCTCTTCGCAGGCTTAGCCTTCGGCTTTTTGATATACTTGTCTTTCTCAATGTCGCCATCGTCATCATCGTCATCAACAGCCTCGACGGCCTCTGCTATATCCGCATCGTCGTCCTCCATCGCCTCCTCGAGATCTGGTTTATCTTTTGAAGCTGCCTTCGGAGCTACCACGCTACTGGCCTTCATGAAAGGAATTGGGTGTGATCTCGTGTTGTACCTATAAATATTAGCCTATGGATATAATGCTGTTGCGTAAGTCTGACTTACAGTCTAGTAAAAGTAGACTTAGTCTGTGTTTCAATGTTAACACTCCCTTCATTTTGGGGGCCAACGCCAAGTTCCTTAATATAGTCGAAATCCTCTCTAGTGAGAAAATAGCTGTCCATCAAGTCGATAACTTCGTCGACAGATGTCTTGCCTTCCTCAGCAAGTCTTCTGATAAGCCGTATCCAGAGCACTGGCAAGTACTCTTGACGAATCTCGTGATGGTCACCAGAGGACCTAAGTCGCATATGGGAATGAATTTCACGAATATATCTACCCAATTTGTTGTATTTGCTGTTGTTTCCAAGCCAGGCTGTGAAGAGATTGGGACTTAGAAGCTGGCCAGCCACGAAGCTAGCTGGTCGAACCATACTAAAGACCGCATGAGTAGGCATCAGGCTCCAGTGCTGTTGGGGACCATGAATCATCCGATCTACCAAGTCGCCGTCGCTAATGCTTTCTGCTGCCATATCGAACATCTCCAGGGCTTTGAGATTATGCTCGCGCTTGTTCTTATACTGAGACTGGTTTAGAGCAGCTGGCTTGGTTTTCAAATAGTTTTCTTGTATCATCAAGTAGCCGAACTCGTGATCGTTGAAGTAAAGCTCAATCTTGTCGTTAAGAGTCGCCTTGCTTGCGGGGGAGAATAGACCGCCACCGAGCATTTTCTGACAGATATCCCACGGCTTCAGCACTATCGACTTCTCCCAAGCCTTCGACATATCCTTGCCCTGGCTATAATCTATAGAGGTCTGATCTAGCTTGATCGTGGATAGCATATTGATAATCTGCCTGATATCTCGGTTACTGCCTTCAATGAGCGCTTCAAGGACCTGCGGCGACAGTTTCAGCCCTTCTCTATGACAAATAGTCATCATACGTGAGCGGATCTGGTCGATTGTCGGGCGTTGAAACTTGATGTCGTACGCCGCGTGCTCGAAGGGCTTCATCTTGGGCAATCCTCGCTCGTTGCAGATAAGAATTAGAGGCACCTCGGACTTTTTACAGAACTTCGCGAGAGCACCCACACCTCCACGGTCGCCAGCAGACATTCCGTCAACTTCGTCCATAATAAGGACAATATTCTTTTTCTCCTCATCTACCTTCTTCCCATCTCCTGCGAAGTAGCCACGCAGGGATGTGTTATTCATAACCTCACTAACTCCAGATTCCACCAGCTTTTTACTACGTGTATCACTAGCGTTGCTCTCGATAACGTCGAAACCTTCAAGCCGGGCAGCTAGATGGGCAGCTGTTGTTTTGCCAATACCTGGGGGGCCGGAAACGATGAGGGCCCGATAGCCGCCGATGCCATCTGCACCCAACTTCTTAAATTGATATTTACGCGATTTATGCCAGTTCCTCAAAAAGGATTGGATCCTCTCGACCGCTGCCTTATTACCACAGATGTGGTTTGGCTGGGTTGGTGCATATTTCACGGTCCATAGCTGAGAGATAGGGGCTGGCGCTGCTGGGGGAGGGCCAGCGCCTCGCGCGACGGCTGCCTCCCGTGCTTTCTCGGCCTCGACTTTTCGGGCCTTTTCTTCTCGTTCCATCTGAGCGGCTTCTTCTTTGATTTTTTCTTCCTCGAGTCTTTTCTTTTCCCGGGCCTTTTCAGCATTTTTCCCATTTCCACCCCCAGCGGGTAGACGACGAATGAGCTCGAACAAGCCCTCCTCATTGATCGTCTTGATACCATGCTGGCGGATTTTCGCAAGCTTGCTGGGCCCAGCATCCTCACCCAGTACCACATAGCTAGTTTTACTACTTGGCGCGCCGGTGATCTTTCCACCATGTCGCTTTACCAACGATTGAGCATCCTCGCGAGCAATAGTAGTCAATTGCCCAGTGAAAACAAAGCTTAGGCCGGCAAGACAATCTTCCTCACCTTCGGGTAATTCCGCAATGGGATTCGGTGGGGGACCACTATTTCCCCCTCCTGCTGCCGCCTTTCTCCAGTCGAACTTGGCATCGGGGTCCTTGGCTGGCGGCGTCGGTGGCCTAACAGTAGGGATATCGTCTAATATCGCCTGGATCTCGGCGTTCTCCGGTTCTTCCGCTTTCTTGGTTTTCGGCGCCCTGGGTTTCTTCGCTGCCGGCTTCTTACGAGATGGAGGTTCATCATCTTCTTCTTCCTCACTAGGTTCGGACTCGGGTGTCTTCCTCTTCTTCGCTGAATTTAAGGCCACGTTACTCTTCGAAGATTTTGACGTAGTAGGCTTGCTATCATCAACTGCCGGTTTGGCACGAGAAGCAATTCTCTTGGGTTTAGGATGGAACTCCTCTTCGCTATCCTCCTCGGCGTAATCATCGTTCTTTCGCTTATTACGACCTTTGGCGTCCGCGGCGAATATGTCGTCACCAGCATCTGCATCGTCATCCATAAAGGCATCATCCTCCTCGTCTAAGTCGTATCGCTTGAGTCTGCTCGCAGGACGCTTCTTTGGCGTGGTCTCATCATCCTTGCTCGGGGTTGCAGCGTCCTTTGCTATAGTCTTCTTATTTCTCGGACTCGACCGAACTTCAACTTTGGGCTTCGGCTGCGACTGCGGCTTTGTATCAGGCTTCGCAGCCGGCTGATTCTTCGACTTGCTCGATGCAAAGTATTCACTCGCCGTAGTAGCTGTCCCTTGCACCTTGTCGCTAACGCTGAATTTTAGTTTGATACTAATTTGTGTATAAAATAATAGCACTCACGCTGCTTTCTTAGGAGTTGATCTAGTAGCTGGTTTCTTTGTCCTTCCAAGCCTGTTAACTTGAATCAATTTCATTTTGACAGATTAGAATTGTTCTGCTTACTCTGCAACTACATCCTCATCCTCATCCTCATCACTATCATCCACGACCTTCCGTCCCTCTAATTATGTGTTATTAGCTGCTAATTCAACTGCTTAATTCCGAGGGATACGCACTGGTGCGTTTCTTTGGCGGTTCTTCGGCTGTCTTCTTTGAAGCTGGCTTCGAAGAGGCCGGGGCACCGCCCTTGGCCCCGAAGAAAGAACGGATATCCGGCATTCTACTCAATTTCAGAGTGTATTATTACCCTACCCCAGTTTGGTGATCAAGAAGAGGGTTAGTGGTGTTGTTAAAAAAGAGGTAGTATTTTTGTAGAAGTGAACGATCTACTAAAATGCTCCGACGCGAATTGTGACGCGCCGACATTTGGAACTAGTCCCTACAATCTTTAATGGAATTGATTTGCGCGATTCGTGCACGTGCCACTGGTGCCTACCATGCTGCAAATAGGCAGGCTGGCAGGTACACATGTACTTCGTATCATTACATAATTCAAAGTAGCCCACTAAAATATTTCCGAGACCAGTGGTGGTGGCGGAAATATTTCAGCGGTTCCATCTAACATCAAAAGGCAAAATATCAGACTCATGATACATTACAATATGAAATAATGATATCTTAGAAAGCCCCATCTTTGTTCCCGGAATGAATTATCATTGGCATTGCCATTAGGTATAAAGAAGTACGTACAACGAATTAAGCTTACTCAAGTTCTCCTTAGTCAAACCTCTATATAACCAAACAAGCTACCTGGATTGTTAACTTGAGGAAAATATTTCTAAATAAATTTATGAAGACTCAATGCCTAAGTTATAGATATAAGATAGGTATCTAAGTACCTAGGTTAGGTAGGTGACTTTATTCGGGAAATAAACAAATTGAAAAGAGCCATAAGTATTTGAAGAAGTCAAGTGAATCATTAAATTCTATCAAGTGCCTCTTCGCACAGAAAACACAGTCCTCTTACTAAACCTAACTACTTCAGGTGCCTAAGGCAACCGTACATTCAATAGCTATAGCATAAGCTCATGTTTTTCTTAAGCATGCCTAAACTTCCCTTAAAGCCAGTATTGCAGTTCCGGCATATTCTTCGCTTTATCAACACTAGGACTTTTCATTGATGTACTTACTTTTCATGCATGAATAGTCTAGAGCTTACCTGGTATGAACAATTAACATATCTTGGTCTTGTTGATATCTTTCTGCAGTAAAAAGACCAACTAGTTATCTTGTTCTATCACTTCTATGCCTAGGTACGGTACTTACATACAAAGAGACGGCACTGCATATCTGGACGGTCCCGGACCAAGTACCTGAGGTCATCACAGCAATCTCCTGTCTACAAATATGTGTTTCGTCATCGGAGATCGCTCTAAATCTCACCAGTCTAGTAAAATAGGTAAGATAACTAGGAATTTATCATGTCTAACAACTCACACCTGGGCAATAACACCACCCCTTCTATGAGACAGCCATTATTTTCTCCTCACGCCACCCCTATTCCCTTCTCACCTTTTCCGCATGAGCCACAGCTCTGTTCGTGCGACCCGTGTGTCACGCTCAGGCTATCTCGACGTATGGATCTAAGATATTCTCACTCAGAAGTCGCCGGGGGCAATGTAGCCGCAAATATTCGCCAAGAGCGCCATGAGATCAGAACCTCCAGAAGAAGTAGCACGAGAAGATCGGACTCGGAATCCCGAGCGACGCACCAATTGCCACCGCTAGCCATACCGCCGCATCTCCACCCGGGGATGACTTACCCGGAGATTTACGTCTATCCTGGCAAATCACATCATATCACGTTCCCAGTGGTCAACTACAGCTCAGCCTATCAGGCTCAGAATCGCACATCCGGGCCAGGGTGCTACCTGGCCATATCACCGCAGTGCGCGAAGCCGGCAGACTTCGAGGCTGCGCTAACACCGCCAGGATCCGGGCTTGCTGTCATGGCGCGGTTATCCAAGACGCAAAGAACGACACCTCTAAGTACATTTCGAGACGCCGCGGAACTTCGCAAAGACTCGATTCAGCTGGAAATCTGGGATGAGGATGCTATCAAGACCCCCGAGAAGAAGGGTCACGGAGCGGAAGTTGAAGCTGACGTTCTCGACGGCGCTGAAGCTGGGACGTCAAAGAAGAAAAAGAAAGCTGCGAACCCAGTACAGACGAAGTAACCCTAAGGCTGGCAGGCTGGTTGGATTGTAAGTTGGGCATCGTATGATAAACCAGTGATAAGCAAGTTGTCAATAAGAAATAAGATACCGGTATGAGTATGGATTGATATTCTCTCGTGCTGTTGTCTAAATTTATTTTGTATTGATCCTACCTTGTTGTTTCCTTTGGTCTATGTATTTCAGGGGTTGAACGTACCATTTTCTTATAAACTGCTGGATTAGCCAAGCCGCTATAGCATTTCGTTGCTGTCTCTTATGCACCGGGATCGCGCTAGCCGTACACAGATGCAGAGGCGACCAGCAATGCAGAGTAAGGATATAATTCCTGCATGTCATGTCGGTAGAGAAACTATGGAAGATTTCACGTCTGACAATCGGCATCGATTGCCGAATGGATTCTGCATCTTACAGCTTAGCTTGTAAGGCATACATATATAGTCCCCAAATGCTGCGTCATCGTATCGGTAATAATCGCTTTGCAGCGCCGCGTATCGGGTTAGACGTCTATGTAGTTGCGGGAAGGTATCGTGTTGATTAGATAAGAATTTCATGCATCGTGCAACGGGATAATAAATTGGTCCGGGGTGTTAACCCGGGCGGTGTAAATTGATGAGACGGGAGTTCCGACTCGCCCTCGTTGGAAGTATCCATGCCGGGGTCAAGCCGCGGTTCAAGATTTAATAGGGGCGTTCACCACGGAAATAGAATACATGTAGGCTAGCTCGTCCGACAAAAACGAGTCTGGATCGTTCGACAAAGCAGACGTGTTTATGCAATAGATATGGTGTACGATATGCGGAATATGACGGGCGATGTTCGCTCAACATTGATGTAGGTAGGCACCTAAAAAAAAGTTATGTTGGCCTGTCTCGTTGGAATTATATACGACGATATGTATGTGTGCACTTACAGTTAGCTAAGCTAAGACGGATCCTTTACAGAAGGATTACGACTCCATATTGGGGAGGTCCCCTCTGTATCTTAAGCCTAATTTAGCTAATTTAGGTACCTAAGACAGTAGTGATCCTACGGGAAGACCCTTAATATCAACTGCCTTAACTGACATATACCTTAACTGACATACAATAGACATATCCGAGTTGCTTTAAGGAGCTTACCTACCTACCTAACGTGTAGGTACGCGCGTAATAGAAGCGGTTTAATAGGGTCGTATCTAAACTGCAGGTGCTTAATCAATCTGCAAGATGATGCCACCGGCTTTAAACCCTTAGGTACATGTACCTAACCTACCTAATCTGATATCAATAAATGTACACTATAGTTATCGGATAGGTAATAGGATAGGTACGCCACGGCTATCCCGTTGTTTTAGTGCCTGGTTATCAGCCTACCCATAAAAAAAACCTGCTGGACTTGGCCAAAACAACCGAGGTTCACTTACTCATCTTCTCATTTCCGTCCAACTACCTTACCTCATGCAAGCGGGATTGCCACATAGATAGCAATGTTTCTTATACATAGTACACTAATGCACTATAATCGATACGGACCGCCTTTCTTAGCGCACAATACGGATCCCAGCTCTTTCAATGGTCGGCACATGGCAGAGTTACTTATAAACATGACAGGGAAGCCTGGCATAATAGAAGCTAATTATTGGTAGTCATTGGTAGTCAAGTGGATAACCTATGAAGTCAAGACTTGAAGATGCGTATTGCGACCTTTCTGTTTCGTCACGGCCCAAGTGGATCGACAAAATAGGAACATGCCTCGGTTCATTCAGCATGACTTGAGAGAATAAAAATGAGAAGAAAATAAAAAACACTCATGACTAAGTAGGACATATCATAGCTATCATAGCTATCATAGCTAGGTACGCAATAAATCGAATGAGAAAATATCTTTGTTAACCCGGTTGCTCATATTTCCTTCGCTTACTTGTTTGCGTCAACTAAATCGGCCTGTCCAATTCGTAATCCTGACGACTCACGGCTGACTACCTCCTATCCTAGGTCACCAACCCAGGTAGCCACAAGTTCCAATACCGACGGCAATTCGGAGTTTACCAAAGCCTACCGGAGGCTGAGCTCTATAGTACACGAATACATATAACATTCCTATAACGTTCTTATACATATAAAGTCTCTAGGGTTCCTATCCTAGAGACGATTTGCTTTGGACAGTATGAACATCGAGTGGCCTTCAATCCTAACTCTTCGACAAAGCAGCAGTGATCCTAGCAACAGTGAAAGTGACACAATGTCAGAAATAACCCCTATCCCAGAGCCACCAAGTCTACCTTTCCTAGGCCACGTTACCGAGATCGATCGAGAACTCCCCTTACGCTCATTTATTTCGCTCGCCGATAAGTATGGTGAGTATCACCAGAACGAGTCCCCATTTTTGTTCGGATCTTCAAACTAATGTCTTCATACAGGTGAGATATACCGACTTCGCCTTCCTGGAAGGTCGCTGGTAGTTTCTTCAAGTCATCGTCTCGTGGATGAGCTTTGCGATGAGCAGCGTTTTGTTAAAATTCCCAAGTCTGCTCTTAATGAAATTCGAAATGGTGTTCATGATGGTTTATTCACAGTGAGTTAGCTCCAGCTCATACCGAACATTGGTGGCACGAGACGTTAATCAAGACCATAGGCCCGGCCAGAAGAGCCTAATTGGGGTATCGCTCATCGAGGTTCGTCTAACAGAGCCCCAAGAAACTTTAACTGGTTATACTTACATTAGACAGTTTTGATGCCTGCATTTGGCCCCTTATCAATCCGGGGCATGTTTGACGAGATGCACGAGATTGCAACTCAGCTCTCTATGAAATGGGCTCGATATGGACCTTCAAACCCGATCGACGTTACTGAAGATTTTACTCGTCTTGCGCTTGACACACTCGCTCTCTGCTCGATGGGCTATCGGTTCAACAGCTACTATACCTCAGAACTTCACCCGTTCGTTGCAGCCATGGGTGATTTCCTCACCGAGTCCGGCAACAGGCCGAACAGAACAATGCCCACCTGGTTTTACCGAAATGAAGACGCCAAGTACTGGGAGGATATCGAGGTCTTGCGAAGAACGTCCGATGAAGTTCTCCAAGAGCGTAAACGCAACCCTTCTAGCCGGAAGGATCTTCTCAGTGCCATGCTTGACGGCGTGGACCCGAAAACTGGACAGCACATGACTGACACGAGTATCACTGACAACTTGATTACATTCCTCATCGCCGGTCACGAAACGACCTCAGGGTTGCTATCGTTTGTGTTCTTTGAACTCTTAAAACACCCCGAGGCTTACCGAAAGGCCCAACAAGAGGTCGACACTGTTATCGGGAAAGGTCCCATCACGGTCGAACACATGTCTAAGCTCCCGTACATTGTAGCTGTAAGTCGAGAATATAGAGTCCCTATATTACCTCACATGCATATCAGCCAGCACGGAGAAAAGATTGTACTAACGCACATTTAGGTGATGCGTGAAACCCTAAGATTATGTTCTCCCATTCCCCAGATCGGTGTCACACCTAGGGAGGATACTCTTCTCGCCGGAAAGTACCCGGTAAAGAAGGGCGAGATGACTGTTCTCATGGTGAAGAAGATGCACGTAGACCCGGCTATATACGGCGAGGATGCCGAGGAGTTTAAGCCGGAGCGCATGCTGGACGAGCCGTTCAACAAGCTTCCCAAAAACGCGTGGAAGCCTTTTGGCAACGGCCTTCGAGCCGTAAGTGATGACGCCGTATGAATATTAGCACGTTACTAACACCCTATTAGTGTATCGGTCGTCCGTTTGCCTGGCAGGAGGCCACTTTGGCCATAGCTATGCTTTTGCAAAATTTCAACTTCGTCCTTGACGACCCATCTTATACCCTGGCTATTAAGCAGACATTGACCATCAAACCGAAGGGCTTCCGCATGAGGGCAACCCTCCGCGACGGCATGACTCCGGGCCGACTGGAGCATCGCCTGGCTGGAACACCCGAATCACCAGCGGAAGGACTCTCTTTCAATAACTCTTCGACATCTGCCGCTGACGGTAGCGGAAAGCCTATTACAATCCTGTATGGAAGCAACAGCGGCACTTGCGAGGCCCTCGCCCAGAGAGTAGCTAGCGACGCATCGCGCCAGGGATACAAGGTTTCCAAGCTTGATATCTTGGATACTGCGAATGGAAACCTACCTAAAGACCAACCGGTCGTCATAGTCACCGCTTCATACGAGGGGGCACCACCGGATAACGCTGCTCATTTCGTGTCTTGGCTAGAGAGTATCAAAGACAAGACTGCATTTGAAGGCGTGCAATACACCGTCTTCGGTGTCGGTCACCACGACTGGGCTCAGACCTTCCACAGGATACCGAAGCTCATAGATAGCAAACTCGAAGAAGGCGGCGCTACTCGCATCGCCAATTTGGGACTCACCGACGTTGGAAACGGTGACGCTTTTGCGGACTTTGAAGCTTGGGAGGATGAGGTGCTTTGGTCATCGCTTAACAAGCAATACGGTACATCTGAGGTTGAGGCTGACCTATCGCCGGCTTCTGGCCTGAAAGTATCAGTGACGAGCCCACGCACATCTACCCTCCGACAGGACGTTATGGAAGGCTTAGTAGTTGACACTCGCACGTTGACAGCTGAAGGAGAACCCGTTAAGAAGCACATCGAAATCGTGCTTCCAAGCGACGAAACATACCGAGCTGGTGACTACCTGGCGGTCCTGCCCATCAACCCTAAGCAGATCGTCGAGAGGGCCATGCGTAAGTTCCATCTTCCATGGGATGCGCATATTACCATCAACAGCGACGGAATAACCTCCCTCCCAACTGACGCATCACTGCCCGCCCACGACATCTTCGGCGCTTACGTGGAACTATCCCAACCGGCAACAAAGAGGGTAAGCTAAAAGACTGCATATCTTAATCTTGTATCTTCAGGAACCCAACTAACAACATCGTAGAATATAAGTACTCTAGCTGAAGCCGCGAAAGACGAAGCTGAGAAAGAAGCTCTGAAGAATCTTGCAAAGGACTCCGAAGAGGCGTTCAACAAGCGTATCTCAGTGCTAGACCTACTTGAGAAGTACACCTCCGTTGAATTACCGCTGGGCGCTTTCCTCGCTATGCTCCCGCCTATGCGTGTGCGGCAATAGTACGTGGCCTAGTCCCTTCGTAACCTAACAGTCGAATATAATGCTAACATCAATCAGTTCCATCTCTTCCTCGCCTCTATGGAACCCATCTCACGTAACCCTGACCTTCTCGGTCCTCGAAGCCCCGTCCAAGTCCGGCCAGGGCACATACGTCGGTGTAGCATCCTCGTACCTAGCATCTCTCGCACCGGGCGACAAGCTTCACATCGCCGTCCGCCCCTCTCACGCAGCATTCCACCTGCCGCAAGATGTCGAGAACACACCAGTCATCTGCGTGGGCGCAGGCACAGGCCTAGCTCCCTTCCGGGGCTTCGTCCAAGAGCGCGCGTCCATGATCGCCGCCGGCCGCAAAGTCGCACCCGCTCTCCTATTCACCGGATCCCGCGAACCAGGCCGCGACGATCTCTACGCCGACGAGTTAGCAGAGTGGGAGAGCGCCGGAGCCGTGAAGGTACACCGGGCATTTAGCCGCAAGCCCGAGGCGGCGGGCGGAAACCGATACGTGCAAGACGCGCTGCGAGCATCCGAAGACGATCTCTTGAAGCTTTGGCGCGAGGGTGCTAAGCTGTATATCTGCGGATCCCGTGCCGTTGGCGACGGCGTTAAGGAAGCCATTGTCGAGCTCATCAAGAAGGGTGCGCAGGAGACTCACGGCAAGGACGTGACGGACGAGCAGGCGGCTCGGTGGTGGGAAGGCATGCGGAATACCCGGTATGCTACGGACGTGTTCGACTAAGCATGTTTGTATGTTGTTGTAGATACTGTTTGATACCTTGGCGGAGAAAGACTATTGCATTTTGACTAGATTTCATATATACCTCATATAGACTGAATATTTGCACATATGGCGGTTAGCTGAGGGTTAGAAAAGAAGTGATTAGAGATTAGAGTGGTATTCTATGCTCTCTTTAGTGGAGAGTTGGCTACAAATTGATACATATCGATATTTAAAAAGAAAATTTTTTTTATAATTATAAGGTGACTTTCATGTAGTCGAGGCTCTCCATGGTATGCAAGGCATGCAGTGACCAATTGCAACCCATCCTACGATGATTCTAGAACACTTAAAATTTCCGGCGGAGGGGCTTGGCACGATATTTATCCACGGTCATGGTGTCGCATTTGGAGCGAAGGTAGCAAGATAGGCCGATAAGTATCGGACGAGTGCGCCTAATCGAGAAGCTGGTTCTTAGATTTGTTACGATGACGCAGTCTTTCGAGGCATCGATGTTACTTATCGCATGTTAAAGAATAATAATCATCTTGTAATACAGCATGACAATTGTTGAACGTATAAGGTATGTAGCAATCATTGTTTGCGGTCATCTATAAAATAGTTGCTGAGGCCCGACTTTCTCATCTAAACCAGCGTTAGTTAATGCTGTCCTCTCAAAAATAAAAATCAAGCTTTTATCGTAGTGTCCGTCAAGTCCTCATACATTAGGTGCTTATCCTAGTATCATCTATGGGTATCACACAATTAAACCAAAGTCGATTAGTTCTATCGTTGGTTCTGTTCACTATACTGATCCTCTTCTTCCGGAGCGCCGGTAAATTTAACGATCCCGATCCAGCCATCGTGAACATGTCAGACACGGGCGACGTCATCTCGAAACTGAAAGTGTCAGTCCGCCAAGTCAGCAGCGCATCGTCCTCCACGCCGAAGCTAGCAGTCACTGTCACCAATACGCACTCTAGCGCCGTGACGATCCTGTCCTGGAACTCCCCTCTGGATCCGTTAGCGTTACAGTTAGGCCTCGTGTCTTTTGTACACGCCGATAACGACAGCCCCATTCAGATTCCGACAATCCAGGTCAGGCGTAAAATGCCGCCGGGGCCGGACGCCCTAGTCGAGATCGGGGCGGGCCATATTAAAGAGCAGGTCCTAGAGCTCAAGGATCCTATCGTGCCACTGGAGGAGCTACGTGGCAAAGTGAGGGTCGCTTGTGCAGGAGAGTGGATGGGTGTCTGGCTGTCAAAGGCCGACGCCGTTACTAAGGCTTCCCTGGAGAAAGCTGGCGCCAGTGACGACGCATTTCGGGGGCCTTTCCAAAGTGAGACAGTCGATATGGAGATATAAGCCACCCTAAGTTAGCTTAGTTGGGAAGGCATTTGTATAGGTGTCGAGGCCTGATCGTATGAGAGCATTGTTATCGTCTAAAGTCTTCACGAAGATGGTGGGGTATAAATTAGTTATTTTAATGAGTAAATTGAAGCTATTCGATATCGACCAGACGCTTTAAGCGTGAGCATATTCATTCCTCTAATCTCCAAGATATGCTGGATGAAGGGGATATGTCCATGATGAACACTTGGACTGCAAGGTGAGGTATCATTTAAAAGAGTTGTAATATGCAAATGTGTGCAAAGGTTGGGTATTAAATACATGTAGAGCCTGACGTACATGTAGCTGGGTACAATTTACTTAGGTTAGTTCGTTATTTCCATAGTTATACATACAGTCATCGAGCAAGTATAGAGCTATACTAAATTAGGCTTGACTTGACTATTAAGGTACTGGGGTAAGACTGTGTCATTAGACTGAGGTCCCATTTAAGCGGGGTTACTTACAGATCTGAGCCCCACCATCCCACCATCTGGACTGCCTGGTACCTACCCCTCAACAGCGGGGTTCCCCTGAAGGTCCCCAAATCATTGAATCTAGCTGCGACTGCAAGTCTTCTTAGGGCATTCAGGTACCTAACCTAACTTAGATTTCAGCCTCATCTATTTTGGCCTGTGGTAGCGACATAATACGTATAAGTATGCAGGTTAGATGCATATGACACAGCATTATAATTATGAATGCTGCATGCTGCTGCTGTACGCCTTAGGTACCTTGTTGGATGGCACCTGAATACAACGCGCAACCAAGGTACGTAGGTACTTCACAATTTTAACTTCTTTTCCTAAAGCTTTATTCCATCCAAGCTTATCAACTCTTAACCTCCTTCTACTTCACCTTTTCCACCTTTACTTCCAGCCCTCCCGGATCATCTTTTGTTTGTCCATGCCACTCCCCCCGCTCCCTCCCCCTCCAACGCGTCTACAATCGTGATTCTACGGATTATCTTTTCGAGTACGACATGAGCCCTTGAGGTGTCTACGCCTCGTCATCCACCCCTCATTCATTGGCTGGGATATGAACCATCTAGATTATCTGGATCTTACTCTGCCGACCTTGATTTCCTCTCCTGCAATACCCGAACTGGGTCCATCAATTCAGAGCAGCCTCGTTAAACTAGGAACGATATCAGTTCGGGACGCCGCCTTTACTACTGTCGTTCTTACTCCTCTTAGCCGATAACCACCCACCTGACACCTGTCTAAAACTATCAAGTCCATCTTAATTACCGTCGTTCAACAATAAATATGTCGTCTTCATCATCCCCTGTCCGTCTAGCTATGCCGGTTGATCTACAGCGTTTTGCTTGTTTTGCCAGATTCCCGTTTGATATCCGCCATCAGATTTGGGAAGAGATTATCTATACTCCCGGTATCCATTTTCTAAAGTTCGAGGAGAATGACGATGCCCCAGATACGCCTAACGACTTTAATTCTCTGGGTCCCCAGTACGCACCTAAGATGGGAGGGGATATCAAGAAGTCTAAATTCACCAGCACTCTCAAACCCGTATATCCCTTCCCAGCAGCTGACAAGTCGTACTATCTTACCATGAACAAGACTTTCACCCAGTTGTCACTGGCTTGCAACGAGGCGAAGAAGCTAGTTGAAAACCTAATCGAACGTCAAGGAAACCTAACTCTCGACAGTGGCCGTCTTGTCCACTTGGCAGGATCTTTAGATATTGTGTGCTTCGACTATCCAGGTGCCACCTGGTCCCGCTCTCTAGGTCTCTGGGCTGAGCGTTTAGATCAAGATCAGCTAGCTAAAATTCGCCGCGTGGCTATTCGTTACAGTACGAAGTGGGATGACGAATGCCGTGTCTGTCGTACTTGTGGTATTATCCACACCTATCACCGCGATCACGGCAATATGCGTCCGCGACACGCGTACGAGTTTGCTGCCCTGTTCAAGAATCTCGAGTCTTTCTACTTCATGGACTGCCTAGCGGTTCGAAAGCAGCGCGACAAGTCTAAGCCAACTTCGTGCATCTTTGCAAAGCGAGGTACGTAAATAGCAAGTCAAAATTACTCTCTGCTCGCAACTGACAACAGAATAAGCATGTGGGGATAAGGGCGAGAGCTTTGCTAGTGGGGAGGGGGGACGCACATACTACGAAGTTGACCCTCAACTCTGCAAGGTTAACACTCACGTCTTCCGCACCCTCTCGTGGGTTCGCGAGAACTACATCGCCTATTGTCAGAAGTATTCTAAAGGTCAGGCGGACCCTGAGAAGGTCAAATTCAAGGTATTGACCTGCGAATGGGATACTGACGAGCTAGTCCCTGCGAAGCAGCAAGAGCCAATATCGGGTCGAGTCACCTCGGCCTATAAACGTCAGAAAACACGAGGTGTCAGCCTTACGGATAGCTTCAGGAAGATGAGCATCGGTGACACACCCGCCCCTGATACCAAGTTATACAGCGGTCTTCCTGTAGTCTTCGGCGACGGTGGCAAGTCGAAGTTTGAGTTCACCATGGAGGTACCCTTTCCGACGCTACACACGTAGCACGTTTGGTGGTGCTTATATCATTATCCCTTCTCGGACGGATCCTAAGTAATAAAACATACACAGCATGGCGTACCGGATCCCAAAGGATACCTTTGTTTCCCTTGTTTATTCTTCATTTCCAGGTGTTGATACCCAATCGTTGCAGGCGTTATCGGTCACAACCAGGGTCTCCGGAAGCGATGATTCTTCTCACGAAATATCTTACGAATCATAAAAAACGGCAGGGAACAACATTGCAGATTTCGGTGGCTTTGCTCCCGAGTTCTCGCATCGCAAAGAGTGACAGAGTCTATAGAGCTTGCTCCTTTTTTTTTTTTTGCGCTAGCTAGACAAATACCCTATAATACAAAGTTTCGGGTCATGATGGGATCTGTGATATGCTCTAGCAAAGACTAAGCACACGTTGTTAGTAGTTAATTGATAATACCCCTGTATTATTGTGCTCGGTACCTCCACATTGCTGTCCTGCTTCAATAGACACATGCATATACGTCGTTAGAAGCCAAGCACACTTGAGAATACGTGATGGGAGTAAGATATCGTAAGAGCCTAAATCCCCGACTCTTGTACGGTATGCAGCCTGGCTTTCTCAACCATATCCTTCAACCCCCGGACCCGTTCGTTCACTCCCTCGGTGACCTGTCCACCAAGCTCTTTCTGGAGCATATCGAAATGGCGGGCATGGGATATCAGACCCGAACCGCCCTGTTGCCTCTGCTCCGGCAATATGCCTAGGCCCCGGTCGATGCTGTCGAGAAAATACAGCACCGCTTGGCAATAGAACATGCTCGCTAGTCTCCCGCTGAACACGTAGAAGGCGCCTAACTGGACGCCCTTGCTGGGATCGGAGAGGGTAAGGGGGTATCGGTCGATACCGATAGCTCGCCGGTGTGCGTGGAAGAACATGACTTCCCAAAGGTTGATTATCTGCACGTAGCAGCTTACGATGACGCAGACGAACGGAGATGTCAATGGCACGTCTTGTTCGGTCAGTATATCTCCAAAAGTGGTTTGGCAACTATCCTCCCGACCCAGAGGCCCTAATAAGGGTTCTGCAAGGTAAGACGAAGAAAAATCGGTTGCGATCCCATCGTCAGCGACGACATGTCCAGGTTGCTGTAACGGCTTGGGTTCGTGCTTAACAACCCAGACGAGGTTCGTGATGGTCTGCTGGAATCTTTGCGCCATAATAAGCAATTTCTCAGCAAGCGAAACCCCATCCCCGGACGGGGGAGGCGGATGATCGCAGAACGTGACAAAGTTTACACTGCCGCTTTCGTCTAATTCTTGGAGGGCTCGCCAATGAGCATGAAGGTCGACGTTAAGCTGGGAGAGCTCTTTGAGACATTCGTGACGGTCCAGCTTCGCCGTAAAGAGGCTGTGTACCTCTAGGGGATCCCTGGCCGCGGAACATCCGGAGTTAAGTCGGATCGCTTCATCCCATTCAGGGGTCCTATGCTCGGAAAGCGGTAGTATCGGATTTAAGTCGAAGTTGTTTACATCGCTTTGGGGTAGCGATGGCGTCTCGTTGAATAAATTGTTGACTTGTGGAAGGTTATCAAGTCTTGGTAATAATAGATTATATGGACTCTGGCTTGGCGGTATGCCACTCCGGGTTCTTGGGGTATTATGACTTTTGCATGCTAATATTTGAACAGGAGATACACTTGCTTCAGCTGCCAAGTCGCTTATTGTGGTTTGTGATGAGACCACTTTTCGCGGGCGTCCTGGTGGCTTGGCCGGCGCGACTGAACAGCATAGATCAAGGCGTAAGCAACGTGTGCATTTCTCCTGGTTCTCATCGCGCAAACACCTCAACTTCGAATGCCGGCACCTATTAGATTAAATGTGAGTTTATGTTAGACATAACAGGTAGTCATATCTCAGAAATCATAGGGATATACCGGTCACAAGCAGTACGCCGTAGGCTCGATCTAGGGTGAGGAGTTGTCGCCATCTCATGACATCTACAGGATCTTGCAATAGAGGTCCGAGGATCTCGAGGGAGAAGGATTACAATTACGGCTTGGCTATAAGTTAATTGGAAATCAAAATCAAATGAGAATGTTATTACATAATCTGATCTCACCACCGCGCGGACTGTACGTACAATTCGAATCCTATTCCTGTTAAAAGACCGCCGAGCCATCATCTCGCACGGACGTCTCCTTTCTATTCTAATAGGTAGCCGGTACGAATAGCATGAAGACATACACCTGGACTTATAAAAACGAGGGATATTTTTACTTGTTCATTAAATAAGAGGAATGTCGAAAATTTAAAGATACATAAAATTATCATTCAGCGGTCTCTCGTTCTTCGAGACCAAACTCGGTTTTCAACTCCGTTCTCAACTTGATTTCCTTTTCAAAGAGAACTGAGAGGAAAACAACCCCAGAGAGCGGTATTCCAATCAAGAACACCTTCTGAAGAGACAGCGTGAAGACGGTCCTGATTTGCTGCCTCACAGGTTCCTCAAACGATTCCACGAATGCCTTTGTCGCGCTTGCATACGAATTCCCCGACATCAACAGCGCTCTGGCTCTAGGGTCTTCGACCACTGGCCCGTACGACGCAGTAAAGCTGTTGAAGATGGCCGCCGCGATTGCCACGCCCCATACATTGCCGAAGCTTCGGATAAAGTTCCAGCTTGCCGTAGCAGCCGCTTGGTCTACTTCTTTGATCGAGGCCTGAAAGGCAGGGAGTAACGTATTCGTGAGCATACTGGTCCCCAGGGCTGTTACTATATTAATCCATATCCAAGCCGCCGTGCTAGTGTTTTGGTCCATGATGCTGAGGAGGCCTACTCCAAGGGTGAACATGGCGGAGCCAATAATGTGAATAATCTTGTATCGACCCCATCTAGACAGCATCAATAGTGCGACAGCCGCCCCCGGTATCCCTACGAGACTGTATACTAGCAATTCCACGCCAGACTGCGAGGGCGAGGATAACCGAACGCCTTGGAAGTAGAGCGGAATGAAAAAGAACTGCCAGTAATTCTCAGCCGAGCTCAAAAAGGAGACAACAAATACGATGACAGCAGTGCGGTTGTTAAACAAACGAAGAGGCATGACTGGATCAGCCACGAAGGGCAAGCCTTCAAAAGCCACGAACAGCACAAGGCCGCCAACTCCAACCATCAGGGGTACCAGGATGTGCCATGACTTCCAAGGATATAACACGTCCGCCCAGGTCAGAGCGATCAGAATAGACACTGTAGATGTAATTAGGATTCCATTGCCGATATAGTCGATTTGCCGCATCTTCTCATAGGCTGTCGTAGACCTATCCCATTTGACGCGGAGGAATAAAAATAGGAGTATGAATGCTAAACCGCCAATAGGCAAGTTAATATAAAACACCCACCTCCACGATGTGTTTTCGACGATAACACCGCCTATGAATGGCCCTAGAGTCGTCCCGATACCGTATATGGCTATGATTATTGCGATAAAATTGCCGCGCTGCTTTAATGGGACGAGATCTGATACGATGACATCGATGATCATGTTAATGCCTAATTAGCACCGGTCAGATTCTCATGCATCGTTAAACGAATTAGCTTGAACGTACCACCTGAGCCCATTCCCTGGATTGCTCTTCCGGATATTAACATAGCTGAGTTTCTCGCACCGCCGCATATTCCGCTGCCTATGATATAGATGGCGACAATAGACAGGGCCAAGCGACGTCGCCCGAAGAGGTTGGATAATTGCCCACATAAAGGCTGGATAACCGCGCTTGTTCCGTCACTTCGATTAGCTTCTTGACGTCGGATGAGTTCATTCTGACATATTCTTACCTAGTTAGAAAGAAGACATTGCTAATCCACACGTAGTCCTGACCGACATTAAGCTTCTCGACGATTGTAGGTAGGGCAGTGACGACGACAGTATTCTCGGCAGCAGAGAGCAAAGAGACCGTACATAGCGCGATGATGATAGCCCAGAACCGCAAGCCTCTTTGCGGCTTCTCATCAAAGGCGCCGGGCTCGTTGGGATTCCGCACACCGGCATCGCTATTTGTCATTTCTGGAAAGGATGTCTCGCGATTCGAGTCGGGTTGCATTTTGATTTAGGGGGCTTCCAATCGTTTCGCTGTCGATGATATCCATCTCCGCGGCTATAGACGATAGTTGCCATGACGTCTTTTAAAGGAAGAGATACGGAGGGATATTCAGAGAAAGAAAACATCCAGCGCTGCTGAATCGGAAGGTTTAGATACTCATCGGAGCGGATGAGGTTATTATGGGGACAAATTGCTTCCGTTCGGAAGGTTTTCTATGTCAGATCGCCGCACTCTAGACATGTTGGTCGGCCATATTAGGGGCAACTAACTAATAAGAAAACGTAAAGTATAGCTGTTTTACGCCTCTCCATCTCCAAGTCGGAATGTTTACATCGATTAGAGGTTAGCCGTATCGAAGTCATACTGGGACATACGACAATCCTTCCGAGCATACTTATTACCTTGGATATGCCCAAACCCTCTCATATCACTCACGTTTTTGCTATAGAGAACTGTTTGTTATGTAGAGTTATGTGCACATAAGACTCTACCGTATCATGTCATGATATGACAATTGGATAGTTCATGCGCAAGCATAGAACAATACTTGCTCTACACGTTTGCTACACCGGTTACTCTGTATGAATAATCGGTACTCGGCAATAATAACTTGAACCATGCTCATGGTGGACAAACTGAACTACCGACGAGAGACCCCTTTCTTAGGATTTATAAACGCTTACCGTATCGTGACATATTTTAAGCAGGATCGCATGAGCTCAGGGTAGAATAAACGAGAAGGCAAAGTAGAACTATTTGAGGCTCCAGCTCGTTTCATTGCAGATGCCAAGTAAAAGTGTGGATGTTTCGAGTGCTCGAATATATATATGCTCGGATATAGGTGCATATAATAGTATACGCTAGATTCGGGGTCACCATATTCCATACATATGACCTTCTCTCCACTTAGCCGGCGACATTTGCCGACGGCATTGCCGTATATTTTAGGTTCGCCTTCTGAGGCTCTACCGATGTGATGTCCTGTCGCTGTGTATGCACGAATCCTTGGCAAACTTTGAGAATGTTTCGTCGCTTGTCTTAACGACCGGTTGTTGCTAATTCATTAATTTTGCCACGAACTGAGATTGTTGTGATAGAAGAAGAGTTGAAGAATTTAGACTCGGGATTTAAATTCCAGAGACAAGTGCGAATACCGAAATACATAGCCTACCTAGTACCTACATACCTAGGTTACCTAGGTACCTACAGGTAAGTTTTCAATTACCGATTAACTAACCATCTTGTAAGTATGAATAATTCCATTATAGGGGGTCTAAAGTGATATTTCCTTATTATTGCATACCCGAGCTAACAGACAACAACCCCCTATTAGACGCCATGGCCAATCCCGGAATGCTCTACGTTACCATGCAGCCCAAGCTAGGGCTGCCGATACACCAGTTTCATGAATGGTACAACAATGAGCATGGCCCGACGAGGCTCAGACTGCCCCAGATCTTCTCGAACGGCCTCCGTTATCGGGCGGCAGACGGAAAGGAGCCCGAGTTTCTAGCCGTCTACGACATCGTGTCTATGCCGCTCTTGGAGACGGATACTTACACGTCTTTACGCGCAAATAGATCGCCTAGAGAAGCCGAAACTATTGGCCAGGTAGACGTGAAGAGGTACTTCTGGGATCTCGTCTCTGCAACCGAGTCTCCGCTCTTCATCCCAATCGAGCAGTTGGCAGATGACGAGGCCGAGAGCATACTCCTGCTCTCGTTGGAGTTCAAGCTTAGCGACACGGCAGATGCTGAGAGAGAAACCAGTATGTGGCTCAAGGAGCACGTGTCTTCGATATCAAAGTTAGCCGGCTGGCTACGATCGCGGGTCCTCAGAACATCCAGCTTGGAGTCTGGCTCGCCAATCTCCTTCATTGCGCTACATGAGTTTTCCAAGGCGGAGCTCGCAACAGCAACTCATCTGCTTACATCATCCCCTCTCGGGTGGAATGATATTCGAGAAAAGTATGCAACAGTGAACTCGCAACGGCTGTACGAGCTGTTCTACGTCTTTGGACCGGCATCGCGCGATTTACACAATTTGTCGCGTCTCGAGCCCTCGACGCCTAACTTCACATTCCCAGACCATAAGACTATCACTTCAGCTGCTACTTCAACAATCTTCTCGTACGTGACGAATCCCGATGGGCTTGAGATCCCTTACAAGCTCGAAGGCAACCCGGACCCCAAGGCGCCAGTTATTGCTTTCTGCAACTCGCTGCTTACCTCACTTGACATGTGGAATCCCTTAGTAAAGATCCTGAAGGCGCAGAGACCACAGTATCGCATTCTACGCTATGACTTTCGCGGCCGGCACAGCATACCTTCCCCCCCTGTTCCCGCAACCTTGAACACGCTAGCAGACGATCTAAGTAGTGTCCTATCTGCGCTACGGATTCCCAAGCTAGACACCTTGATCGGCGTATCTATGGGCGGAGCCACGACATTGCGGTTCGCGCTCAAGTATCCGGATAAGCTAGGGCGATTCATCGCGTGTGATTTCAATGTAGCGTCTAGCCCCGCAAACACGGAAGCGTGGAAGCAGCGTATCGCTATCGCCGAGACTCCTCTCGAGGACGGCGTTCCTGGTATCCAAAAACTGGCAAAGCAGACCGTTGAGCGCTGGTTCCACCCCGATACGATGGAGAAGAAGCAAGAAACCGTGCGCTGGGTAGAGGATATGGTTGCCAAGAACAATCTCGAGGGCTTCAGGTACGGGTGCCAGGCGCTCTGGGACTACGATATGAAAGCCCAGATGAAAGAATGTCAGGTCCCGGCACTGCTGGTCGTTGGGGAGGGCGACGGAAAGGGGGCGTTGGTCAAGGCCATGGACGGCTTCAAGGGCCTTCTTGGAAAGGATGGTGCCGAGCTGGCCGTCGTACCAGAGGCGGGCCACCTTCCCATGTGTGAGAATCCAGAAGCTTTCTGGAAGGCTGTGGAGGGGTTCTTGTGAAGATCTAGACTACTCTATAGTTATTTTGGTAATTGGTTTGTAACACAGTGCCAAGCTGGTTCTCTGGCTTGAGAGTATAGCTCCACGTCTGTCCAGTGGGCTATCAGCTGCTGCCGCAGCTATGAATAGCTCTTAATCTAAATCGATCTAATGGGCATATGACATCGAAAGATATATCTTATCATAGGATGAGCTGATCGTAGATACCTACGGAAAAGGGGCGTCAGTACCTATCTAAGTGAGTAATTGGTGCCACGAAAGATGTTGTAAAAATACTAGCTCCTAGGAGCTATCCTGTAATGGAATAGTTACGTCTTTCTCTGTAGGTTATCTTGCTTGTATCTCTAGACCGGTGCTCGTTTCTAGATATCTGTACAACATTTTATTGGATGGTGTTCGACGCATACTTAGACGACGTTATGATACCGAAGTTCGTATCTTCTAATTGTAGTTAAGTGTAAAAATGGAAGGTTTAATAGGGCAGATAGCTAGAAACGGGACATGTACTACGTATAAGATGTAGAGGAAAATACTTGACTAAAGTCTTCATATAATTCTACCAATAGCATATTCTATCATACTCGCTTAGTTAGTAGCCATAGCTACAAACGCCTGTACATATATTTTGCAGGATTTAGAACATTATAACTAGCTCGAGACGATAGCAAGTTTTGATATCTGCACATCGTCCCATCTTCTTATGTATCTATTATTCCCCTTTACAGCTAGGCTGCGGTAATATGGGCCGAGTATCATAGGAAACTACTTAGACGTCGTAGTTTATTTAATATGCCTTATCACAGAACGATCTCGACTGCACCCCCTGAAGCGAAATGTGACGTCGTTCGAACTATTGCAGCTTGAGACTCTCTAGATGAGTCTAGTAGAATTATCATACAGGATTTTGTTAGAACTAGGTAGCGTGTGGAAAGTCTTTAACGCTCTGTTCCTCATTACCCTGCCGATGCTTAGAATAGCAAGGTAGTATAGGCTCAGCTGGAAATTCTAAGCGATAGGTTTGATACCTGGCTGCCTCCATGTGGATATCCCGTTACACTCTTACATTGGTGGAATTACTCCTAAGCATACAGATCCACGATAGCTTCACGAAGAGCATTACTCAGCCGTGAATCATCAACATTTGCGACTAGATTCATACGAGTGGAAACAGGAAGACTTAAGAAAGACGTTAGCGAGCACGTGAGGGGGGTAGGAAAGGTGTTCCGAAAATATATCAAGATCCCCGGGGAGCTGACCCCCACTTTGGCGAGGATTGCTCATGCTGCCGGCACGTCGGAAGGAGGTGAGTTGGGGGCGTTGCCGCATACGGATAGCTTCGCGATGACGCAAGCGAGGCGGAGTCCCCAGTCGCAAGGCGATTGAATATTAAAGGATCTACCTACATGTATGCAACTCGTCCCGGCAGCCGTTAGGGTTGCGTTTGTGTAAGAGCCCGTATGGAAATCGATGCCTAGCGAGCTGATCGAAACCCCCACGCTGTCCATCCCGAATAACGCCAACTCAACTCTCCTCTCACCTGTTCTTCTTATCCATGCTTCACTTGCGGCTTCTTGTAAGATAGGTATCCAGGCTTCCGGTCTGGTAGTACAGACTGCAGACTTGCGGCCGCCTGGGAGTAGCACACCCTGCCATTGATACATGCCTTAGGTACCTCATATGCAACATCTAGAAGTATGTAGTTCGCTTAGGCTGCAGTGCGTCAGACTTCCCGTGGGATGACTGAAACTAATCACGATCATACGGAATCGATAGCAGTGTTGCTTCGAGTTCGAACGGATATATTAAAAGTTGGACTGGTGGACTCAGTATAGCTTATCTCCTTGTAAGTCGTGCAGTTCGCGTCATAGATCGGCATAACAGCGTGCTAAACATCGTTCCGCTTTGAATTGTATATACGGTTAGATGTGTCATGCTCATTAATAGCATTATAAATACGTCAACTAATAAATGCAGTGTCGGCTTTTCGTTATCTCATGGCTAAACATCCGTGCCGTTTGGCGAAAGGGGCTAGGGGTATAGGTGTACTGCAATCAACCCTCAATAGACTGTTTGTAAGCCAGCGATATTCTTACCAAGCTGTAACCTAATGACCTGGAGATTTTAAGGGAAGCTAAAAGTGACGACTGCATGAACCCTTCTTGCCAATTCGATGCCCTACGAGAGCTTCTAGAATGTTGCCTCACCTCATGCTTAGCTGTATACTACCACGGACAAGATCTCTCGGCGCTATGTACTACAACTGCAGGCAACTCTGCGTGTTCGGGCTATAACCACGAAAAGGATCTATATAACTACGGAGAAATGCGAACTTCGCAACGTTACCCATGACCCAGCAGGTCGGAAGCCCTGGCAGAGCTGCCCTGCTTTCCGCCGCTTAGCCTACCCGTAGCGTTTCCTACGATATAATTACTAGATTCGGCCACTTACAAAAACAGGGATCCAAAGCAGCTTTAGCGCTGGGTTACGCACGGCTAGACTAAATAACAACAACAACAACAACAACAACAACAACAACAACAACAACAAAAGCTCATGTCGAGCCTCCCTCTCGGGAAATGAATAGTCTCTTTTTATTTGTCCGTGGTCTTTTGCAAGGACTTGCAAGGACTACATATAAACACGTCCGGTCTTTTGCAGGGGATGTTTCGGGGTAAGATATCTCTTGCGCTGGGTGGCGAACGGCACGTGGCCCGCGTCCCGGTAGAACACTGTTGCGAGCTCGAGATATATATCTCTCGGGGATGAATTGAAAGTACGTAGTCAAGGTAGACAAGGTCGGCGAAGAGGTAAATAGAAGAAGAAGAAGAGGAGAAAGAATTCTGTCCCGTCTTGGTAAGTCGGGAATCTCTTTCCTTAATGGATCGCTTCGGGACATGGCTCAGTATGTAAAAGCTCATCTTGGATGGACTACATGGGATCATGCAAAATAGATGAACCGGATGAGATTCGACGGGAAATTCCCTTGTTTGAAATTCCCGACCAATAGCAAGTCTACGATAGGGATGGAACAAGCTGTCGTGGACGGAATAAACCTGACAAGTTATAGTAGTGGCTTCGGAGACTCGGAGTGGTCTGGAAGAAAAGAGACAAAAATGTGGCCCTAGGTTTCCCCAGGTTTTTTTTTTCTTCTCTTTCTCTTGTCCCGGTTTGATGTTAGCCACAGGTTTGTTTCTAAGACCCTATGCACCTAGGGATCCTCAAGATAATTAATCTGGGCATTGTCGGTCGTTGTCAACTCTGATCGACCAAGCATTAGCTTCAAGTAAGGCGGACCGTCAAAGAATAAATGGTCCTCTAATGGCCCCCTAATGGTCCAATAATCTAGTCTGAGGGCCTGGGGGCTAGGCCTATGTTGGAACCGTATTGGCTGGCCTAAGCTGGACCGCGGAGCTACGTGCCGGCTCTTCAATCTAAAAGAGTACGCCGTATCCATGCCTGTTCGGGCCGGGCTGCCGCATGGGAGAAGACCCCTGATAATGGGGGGGAGCGAGGGGCAGCCAAGTCCGATATTGACATGGGGTAGGGAGAAAGGGTTTCTTCAACCTGGTTAATAAAGGCCTTTGCCTTTGGCATACCTATTTAGTCCTTGCTCGACCCCGCGGTAACCCAGCAGTCTAGTTGGGCAAAAGAAGAGAACACGGAATCTGAATGGCCGAGTCACAGCATACTGAAGGGACAGAAGGATCACAAGACACGGGGGCACGCACCAGGTAAAAGAGAAAAGAGGGAAAAGGCTGAGCATGTCCAACGTAGATGTGGTACAGCGCACAGCCGCTGCACTCCCCTCAAAATTCGAGGCCGCAATGGCTGCCGCTACTGCTACCGCTACCGCCACGGCCGCTGGAGTTGGAGTTGGAGTTGGAGTTGGGACTGGGACAGCCACCACAACTCCAAGTAGCCCTGCTGTCACAATGGCGGCAACTAAATCCACCACAACATCTTCCTCTTCTACGTCGATAGCGACAACGATCTCGACGACAACTTCAACAGCAGCAGCAACGACGACAACAATACCACCAAAAACTCTAGGAATAAATACAATATCATTTCCGCCATCAATAGGGGTAATTGGGATCAAAAGGACAAGAAACGGTGACCATAAAGAAGGCAGGAATTCGAAAACTAGGCAGAGGCCTTTTACCAAGAGCATGGAGCCTCCAGTATTATCGTTTTACGGCACGCAGCCAGTGCCTCTACCCTCACGATTTGGCAGTCTTAAAAAGCGTCTCGTCGCAGGCCACGAGTCTGCGCTAGAAGCGTCATGGGGACGGCTTCTGGACGCGCTGCGCGAAGAGATCAAGTATATCGAAAAGCACGGCTCCGGTTTGATCCCGTCAATCGACTTCACCGATATGGAAGATGCAGCCAAAGTTGCCCCATTCGGAGAGCAGCTGAAGCGACACGGCATCGGCGTCATAAAAGGCGTTGTTCCCTCTGCAGATGCGAGCTCTTGGGTCGAGGAGACCAAAAAGTATCTCGAGACGAAACACGAGTATAAACCGCCGCCAGCACAGGATCCTACTTGTTTCGACTTCTTCTGGACTCCTGCACAGGTGCGCTCGCGCGCGCATCCTAATGTTTTGCAGGCACAGCGGTTCGCCATGTCGCTATGGAACGCGAACAACGACGACCGACTCGCGACGAGGTTCCCCATCACGTATGCGGACCGAATCCGAATAGAGTCGGTCTCAAACGGCCACCTTACCGTAAATGGGGCCCTTGCTGCCACGCACGAGGATACCTTGATCGCCGCTGCGGCTGCGGCATCGTCTGCGCAGATCGCGCAGATCGACAACGGCAGTCTGGAGCGTTGGGAGCAGGACGGCTACGGACGTGGCGGTCTTTACGATGCAGTCTTCAAGGGCGACTGGGAATCCTACGATGCGTGGGACCCGGCGGGACGCATCAACGCGACGTCTGACTTATACAACGGTGCAGGCGCGTGTTCTATGCTGCGTCTATTCCAGGGCATTCTTGCGTTGACCGTAGTCGAGCCAGGGATGATTCGACTGCTGCCTTCGCCAAAGCTATCAACAGCTTATTTTCTTCTCCGGCCCTTCTTTTCACCAAAGAAGGGACCGCCTCAGCAGGGCGCCAGCGAAGAAGAATGGAATGTGTACCTGGATGCATCGAACTGGGTCCTCGACAAG